TTTATCTCACAAACCGCATAATATCAAGCCAAGCTTTGATAATTATTCGATCTAAAGGAAATACATTTATAATTCACAATCAGAACAAACGCAAATTAAGTCTTTATCTCGTTGCTAAATTAAAAAACTTCAATGTAAACTTACTTCTGTGGCGGGTCGTTACGATAGTCTCACTAACAGGTTAGCAGATTCTCCAGATTAGCGGATTTAGAGACAGAAAAATAATAACAAAATAAACTTCTTTCTCACTTCGATTATGCTGAAAACTGATTTGAAACATGATAACCTAACGCTCTTAAGTCATTTATGAGATTAATGTCAATCACGATTCTTGTCATGGAATAAATCTATTAATAAGAGGCAACGCCTAATTGATAAACGAAACAGTGATAATGGAACTGAGTGGAACTCAGTTCACGGAATAAATAAACAAGGAAAATGAAATTAGCCCTGTCAGACTGAAATGAAAGCAAGAGAGCACCTAAGTGGGATATTAATTTGGGAGTAATATATAGTTTGGAAATAGCAAAAATTCAGATTCCTCCAGATTTTCTTTCAAATAACGAAAACAAAAACAAAGAAAAAAACAAAAACAGAAAACAAAAATATTTGCGTTCTAAACAGAAACAACCAAAGGCTTCTATTGATGGCACACTACACTATAACAACATCTCTCCCGTAAAAAGCCACACTATATACTCCCTTATGAAAGGAATGATTTAATGCTAGAGTAAGGAACAAACATAGGCGTGTGTAGCATGCAAGTGTTATTTCGGCTAGGCGGATTGAGATGGGACACTTTGTGTACCTTATGTTTCATTTTTATGACAGAAAAAGAGAATAACTTTCAAACGGATCAAAATATCGCATTACTTCACCTTAAGAGTAAGGAAAAAAGCCTAATTTATCTAAACTCACACAGGTATTTTTTGTTCTATTGTCTCTATTATCTAAACATTTCTAGGCAAAAATTAAATGCTTACTGATGTCTCCCCATGCAGCAGTTGTTTGGTCTCGGCATGCGGCACACAACGCATTTACTTATTTGGGAAAATGCAATGCAGCGCGAAAACCGGAAAGAAAAACGGGTTTGCATTGTCACGCAATTTTGTCGGGACTGCGTTACAACCCAAGTTAACGTGAGTGAAGTACGTAGGCGACTCACGGTCTGATAACCATTCCTAGATTACCAGATCTTTGAAATAGCTTCCTGACCCGGACAGTGTATTGCTTCAACAATCTGTGATTTAAGGGGGAATTAATTTCCTGTTGCGTCGAAAAGAAACCGCAGAACCGGCTTCACCGGTATTGACACCTTAACCAATCAAATGTAAATTACGTAAAATTAAAAAAAAGAAGAATCGTCAAAATTTATTATGGGAAGTCCGTCAGAATATTTCGGAATCTATCGATTGCCGGTGTAGTATTGTAGTGTGAACTAGCAAAGAATATGCGTCCAAAACCAGCTGAATCCGTAAGTAACAGCCTGTTCAAGTTGTACAATGACTGATTTTTGGTTCTAACTCCCGCTTCTCGATCGTTTAAATTCGTTTTGAGTTGGCATGCTGGTCAGGTCCGAGGCCAATTTGTTACTTAATGTATTACAATCTATCACCATGTACGTGATGGACAATCAATTTAGGTAATCAGTTCTCAACAGTCAGCAGAAAGTAACCTTCATGTTAACTTAATAATATATGTTTGCTGTATCGCAACAAAGTAGACAGTTAAGCCATCAAACTTGATTATCAGACGTGAAAATGCGAACGATCTTCGCAGTAATGAACACTACTAAATAAGGCCTGAAAGAAATTCGGGCCTGTACGGGATTTGAAATCATGACCTCTGCAATACTATTGCAGCGCTCTACCAACTGAGCTAACAGGCAAGAATTGATTGTCAGAGTGTCGATGACGAGAATCATACTAAGCTTTACAACTAACAGGCAAGATATAACCGACTTCACTTCTGGTTTGAATCGCAATCAGTCATCGCCGCTATTGTTGAAACATTGACCCCTTCCCGTGTGCCGATGTTTGTTACAAGATATTTCACCAACTAACCAAAAAAAAAAAAAAAAAACATATCAACATCGAGAGGAGAGTGGTGGTTAAGGTCAACTTTTAAGGCATCATGTGAACTTGATTGTATCAGATTAGAAATAAAAGTTTGATAAACTAAAGTTATGCGAGAAACATCAGGAGGATTGAGAGACTCTGAAGAAAAAGTTGATTGTGTTTTGTAATCATCTCTGAATGATCTGACAACAGAATACATTTGAAAAGAGGGTTCAAACCATTACTGCCCAAGAAAAATATATTACATCCCTTCAGACACAAATTATTATTGTAGATATATCAGAAAATTCTGTGCATTTAACAAAATACTTTTATTAGGTTTGCATTTTGTGTCCTTTGGAGACCTTATTTCCATTTACACAGGTCTAAACTATCTGATAGGTATCCAGCACACAACAATTAAAGATTACGAGAGCTATAATTGTGGCAGAGATGCCAACCTCTGGAAATCTGAAATGTAGATGCTCTATTTTGGATGACACCCTTCCCCTTGTAAATTAACTTCCTGACTATGTCCCATTGGACACATTTAATTTCTAAATTTCCCTCTGTAGGTAGTACTGTTGGATCCTTCACAGATCTATAGACCAGAAGAGGAGTACAGTGAATATAACGAGTTCATCATATCCAGAACTGATAAGACGGTTGAAGATTTTCGCAATTACAATGTCAACCTTCAAACTGACAAAGTTCATATGACATACAGAATGATGCATGAAAAGCAAACCATGACTTTTGTCAATGAAAAGGTTAGTTTAAGAACAGGCTGCTTGTAAAAGAATTAAGTTGAATTACTTTAACTATGAACACCCATTTCTTAGATTGCCTATCTTTGATAGCATTATTTAATTGCCATTCAAACCTAATGGATAACTTTTTTCATTCTTGAATTATATTTATTTTATTTCAAATAATTGTTATGTTCTTTGGTAACACCAATCAGGTTTTGCTTTTAGGTGATTCCTCAGAAAAAAAAAAGGTATAGATCAATTTTAAAAGCTTTCCTTAAATGTTCCTTACCAATATCTGTTTCAAAAATTACAATAAAAAGATAGGTCACCATGCTTGTTTAAGAGATGTGATGGGCCAAACTTACCCATTTATGCCTGTACTGGTGCCAATCATGCGTGTCATACATCAGTTCAGGGTACATTTTGCTGCAGCTAGAAGCAAGATTTTTTAATGTAACACAAAAACTTGATAATTAGGTAAAAAGTCTCCAGCAAATGGAACAATTTGATATATAATTAGTGGGAAAATCACACAAATTTAAACTACATTGACTCAAAATGTTCTTTGATTTGTTCCTTTCAAGGTTGTAATTAGCATCCTTAAGTAACAGACTTCCTGCATGCTTTTAGCTTTATCTTTTTTTCCCTTTGAAGAATTTTTTTTTAAATTTCCCCCATTTAAATGGGATAATTTGTTATCCAAAATTATGCAATAAAAAATGTAGGTCACCTCAAGAGCTAAAGACCATTGTACCTCTTAACATGGTCCATGGATTGAAAAACAATACCATGTTCTTGGAAATGTGATTTTTATGCACAGTACAGGATGTGGGGTGCAAAACTGAGGAATTACTTTAACATTATTTTGCTAGCACCAATCAGATTGCAGTATAGGGGCTCTCAGTATTTTGAAAAAGTTTGAAATAATTGTTTCTGGCATTCAAAGGTACTCCTTCCTGTCTTATAATTAAGATGTTATTTTGTCTGTTGCTTTTCCGGATATCAAATATGCCCACAGAGGCATGAGAAGAGTTCTAATGAGAGAGTGATAGATGAATATTTGTTCTATTTAGAAAGAGCATTGGTGCTGTCTGAACAAGTTTAAAATGACCATCATGGACGCTGTGCACATGTTAGATGCTTTGGTGGATGAAAGTGACCCAGACACAGACTTACCCAATTCAGTACATGCCTTTCAAACTGCAGAGCGTATTCGTGTTGCCCATCCAGACAAAGACTGGTTTCACTTGATTGGTCTTCTTCATGACCTGGGAAAAGTTATGGCATTGTGGGGAGAACCTCAGTACTGTGTTGTTGGAGATACTTTCCCTCTTGGCTGCAAATTTTCAGAAAACATAGTCTTCCCTGAGACATTTGCAAACAATCCAGACACAAAAGTTCCAGAGTATAGGTATGCAAGATAACTATGATATGATGCACATTTTGCATTGTAGTGACAATTATCTCCCATTTATGAGACAATACACAACTTGCCCAGTAATATTTTCTTTAACTTGTACATGTGTAAAAGTTGTCTCTTTTTTCACTTATCCAGTCTTCATTTAACTGCAGGTATGTTTTTGTTGAATATTTTTCAGCTCAAAATATGGTATTTATCAACCAAACTGTGGTCTGGACAACATCACAATGTCTTGGGGACATGATGGTATGGATTTATTTTTTTTAGCTCGGAGATTTGTTGGTAATGATTTTAGGTTGGTCAAGGGAGACATTAATGACCAGGTTTTCTACCTCTTCTTGATATAAATGACAAAAACCTGTATAAGATAACTTAATACAACAATTAACATGACCTAAAGTGATCTTTATTCAAGATGAAGTAAGTCAAATGATTAAAACGCATATTTGAAAGGAAAACTGAAGGCAAGATGTGTGATATCTACAAATAAATCAATGAAATGTAACATTTAACACTGTTGTGTTTGTATAGGTTATATCAAAATCCAAACTTTTCAGGTATACTGATGATATATTTTAAAACTTAAGAGGAGTTGAAGTTAAAAACTAACATCATTTACAATGATGCTGTTTCTAGAATATGGACTATTCAAGTGTTGATTACCTATTAGTAGAAGTTAAATATTAGAATGTTAAAGCTCCTAACCTTGTTTTTTTCCTTTGTAGAGTACATGTATCAGGTGTTAACTGGAAACAATTGCAAGCTTCCCAAAGAGGTTAGAGGGAAAAAATGGGGCAGCACACTTTAACACTGCTTCCTTGTGAAACTCAAAGATGAAATATAATGATTTTTTAATGATTTCCACATGTCAAACATAATCCTCTCACACACAGGGGTGAAATGTTTTCACCCTACAAGTTCTCAGGCTAAAATTATAAGAAACGAATGACAGACAGAAAAGAGAATTTTAAATCTAGATCTTGAAGGTAAAAGGATTGGGGCAAGTTTATGACAACCTTGTGACAAAGATGATGGACCAATTCATGTGACTCCAACATGTGGCACATAAATCAGATAACATAACAACCTGCTACCATTGATAGTATAGTTTATGTTATGAACACGTAAATGAAGGTTACATAATAAGTGGTTACTGGCAACATTTAGGAAATTACTTTTTATTCTTAAAATTATATTTTCAGGTACTTATACTTAGATATTACTAGAGTTCTTATTATAAGATATTAATATGGATGGTTTGTGAAATGTTTCCAGGGGAAGATCCATTTTCATTTTAAGTTTTTTTTTCTTTTTGAAGGTAGCATGGCAATGAAAATTATGTCAGTTAGTGATTCAGAGAGAAATCATTTACAACTGTAACATTAACTGACTGGCCTGTACAAGGCTCTCATTAATTCACAGGGACTTATCATAAGTTAACTTACCAGTGCTCTAATTAAGTTAAAGATTTGATAATTTTTGACAAATGCAATATGTGCTCCAGCTTGATATTATGCACATGTTCTTTGCAGGGACTGTATATGATAAGGTATCATTCATTCTATCCTTGGCATTGCAATGGAGATTATAATTACCTTTGTAACAAAGAAGATATGGGAATGTTGAAATGGGTGAAAGAGTTCAAGTGAGTATTAATCAGTTTGATGGTGATTGGTAGCATTTGTAAACCATTTACATTGTTTTTTCCTGATACTTATTATTTAGCTCAACATAATCACAACATTCATATGACAACTAAGGACATTAGAAGAGCTGTCTCCTCATTCAGCATACTGATAAATAGAGTGCACTTTACAGGATAGCATTTTTTACATTATGCCACCTTGAAAAAGCTGTCCATTAGGAATCAATCAACAAGCACATGTTCTATGAAGGGTGAAAATACAACAACCACCCATGAGATAATAATATTGCTATTCAGTCAAAAACCAAGCTTAAAATTTACTCTCTCTTTCTCTGTATATATTAACCCAAAAAGTATGTCTCACTTGCAGTAGATTCTTCATGGCATAAGGGTTCATTATGCTTGGATTCAGTAGAATACACATTTCCAACTTGCAAGATTAATTTCTTTATGATATAGGGGTTCTTTATGTTTGTTTTCAATCAAAAACATATTTCCACCTTAATTTGTGGTGTCAAATTATTTTGTAGTAAATTTGACCTGTACTCAAAGTCTGATGCTATACCAGATGTGGAGGCTGTAACACCATACTATGAGGAATTGATAGCCAAGTACTGCCCAGGAGAGCTATCCTGGTGAATGAAACATGCCTGATACACAATAATCAACTAAAAGTTTTAATTTGAAAAGCAATGCTTTATCTAAATAATGAACAATTTTTCTGAAACCCCAAAGCATGTATGTTTGTCAAGTGTGGACCAGAAATATCAATTGAATTGGTACGGGCAATCATATAATAATAAGGCTTCAAGAAGGAGACATTTCAATCACCGGAAAGCTGTGGAAAGACTTACACTAAAATTAAAAATCAGAATGTAATTATTAAATCAATGAGTGATGCCTTGTGGACAGAGCCAAGTATTGTGTATGTTTAACATATTGTTATACTTTGTTGCTTTATGCTTTCGTCAAGTTTTGACCGTATTAATGCGTGCGAGTGAATGAATGAATGAATGAGGCAGTGTGTGTAACTTTAAGTGTAGATAATCTCATATTTCAGAAGTAGAAGTACAGTTGAGAGGCTTTTGAAGTTAGGTATATTTACAGTTCTGTGGTCTTTTTTTTTGTAGTATCTTTTGTACCATTGTCACTGAAGTAAACTATCCAAGGGTGTAGGGCTTTCTTTTAATAAAGAATTACTGTTAAAGAAACTACCAGAGGAATGTGTCTTGCATTGTTGAAATAATGACAGTTACCATGTTTTGCGTTGCCAACCTAAATTACTTCCTTTAGCTTTAACTTTTTCAAGAGAATCAAGCAGTTTTACATTTCTTAAGGAATGTTTTAAGTGTTGGACAAAAACTCACAAGTATAAATGATAAATTTTTCGGTAAATTCAAGGATCTGGCGAGATAAGCTGCACCTTTTCTCTCTCTCCTCTTTCAGGGGGCCATATGTTAACGTTTGACACCACTCTCCTTATAGGAATGTAAATTCTCAAATTTGCAATGATATCGTGGCAATTAGTCCTTGAAAAAACTTTCGTTTCCTTTTGAAAACTTCAATGAATCACATGCAATACAAGATAATTTGGTTTTATCAACTGAGTTGATAGTTAAAATAGGCCACCATAAAGAGGAAGCTTACTCTTTACGGTGGCCTATTTACATCATCAACTCAGTTGTTAAAATCAAATTATCTTGTTGTGCTCCCCTATCGACGCAGCACCACAGTCTCTTGGTAACGTAATCCCTATAATTCACCGATATGTCTTCATTTTTTGTTTACTTACCAGCCTTGCAATCCCAGTATTGCCACTGTGTTGAGAGCGTTTTCTCTGAGTCAAGTCGAATTATAATAGGCGTTGAGCAGGCAGGACGAAAACGCCAAGGAAAATAGCGATTGACAAAATTAATTTTTTTTTTTAGTTAGAATAGTTTGCCGTCGAGTTATCCACTTTCAGACTAAACAAATTTTGGTGATTTCATATTGTTGATTTTCAAAGGACGACTAAGAACACTAATAGTTTCAAAACACACTTGCTGAGCTATTGTTTTACCCAGAAGATCTTTTTTTTTTGTTTTTGTTTTTTTTTGCCACCTCTTCGTTGCTATCACCGTGTGGGTACCTTATGATTTACCACTCGGTCGTATCATCAGCCTTAGATCCACTTAACATGTGATATATGCATGACCATAATACAGAGATTACTTGTTTTTGGTTCTGCAAAGAAATAACAAGCAATGATTTTAATGATGGACCAACTTACTTTCCACTCAACAAGCTAAGAGGGAAAGAACAGAGATATGTGATTCTCCCCATTCCCCACTCATCAGGCCGAGAAAGACTTGTGCCACATTGTTGCATTTATTTGGTGCACGGTTAGGATCTACATTGTTTATTCAGCAGATTTTCAAGTTTAGTCGACATCACTCATAACACAATACTTAAATTTAAGCTACAATTCCAAAATTTGCTGACATCGCGAAAACTTTACGCAGGTTTTGACAAGACTGCTGAACAAGGGGAAAGTTTCTTTCGCGTTCGCTTTACCAGTGAGTTTGTTTTACTAAGCGTGAACTATGTTTGTAGTATTATAATTTTCCTCCCGGCTTTGTTGGACCTTGCACTGTCACTGCTATACATGCACGATGGAGATATTTGGTTTCCAATTTACTGATGATTCAGTTTTTATCCGAATGATAGGTCTGTGGGATTTGCTTAGAGCGAGTAGATAGATGCATATTATTATATATTTGATTATGCTACAATATTTGTGGAGTGTGAGCTGGTAACTTACCTTGCATAATTCAATTGTTATTGAGTTTATCAGATGTAGAGCAAAACGCACTCTTTAGCACATGTTGTACTGTGTGCACATATGCATTATGACTTGATTGGTGGTTCGTTATGTACAGATCTAGCAATTTCTTACGTAATATAATTATCTGGCACCCCAGGTGTAAGTCCAACACAAAACTCACTAGTAGCGACTCTGCAACTGATAAATTGATCAACTATCAGGTGAAAAATTTACTGCTAGGTTAGTGAGATTACTATTTGAACACATTATCCAGAGAAGGCTTTGGGCCATTCATTTAAAAATTGTAACAAATGTGGGAACAATTGGTGCCTTTTGCTGTGGATTCATGCATAATAAACAGACATGTTGATCGCCATCCATTGTTAACCCTTTAACTCCCATTAGTGACCACGACAGAATTTCTTCTTACAATATCAACACAGTATCAACCAAACAAGTGATGAGAAAAAAGGAAAATATCGATTTGGAGATACTTAGTTGATCCCATACTAAATTCTCTAAACTAACATTATAAGATTTGTATGTCAGACAGTTAGGAGAATTACTAATGTGATCTGGGAGTGAAAGGGTTAAGAGATACTTATGCAGAAAGTACATTTGGATTCACTCAGCTGTCACGCTCTTTATTACTTTTGATAAATAAATTGTATTCAATATATCAGGGTCTTTTCTATTTTGTTTCTGTCAAGGTCAAGTTTTATTTCAAGATGGATCATAGACATTCTAAAAGTAAACATCATGCACACACACAGAATTCTGTTGGTGTGTCTGTGGCCCAATCCGATGGAGAAGAAGGTGTCATGAACACTGGATATTACACATTACCAGCATGTCGTTTTACAATCCTGGTTCAGGTGTTGTTATTTACTGACTTAGTGTCCTCTGTTGCACTCTGGCTTTGTGGTGGAGACAATGAGTACTTGGAGGACAATGTGATGCAATTCAAGATAAAAGACTCGGTGTTTGACTTGGCGGCAATAGCATTTGTGAAGTGCAGCATTCTCTTCTTTTCTTATCACTGGTTAGAAAAATTGTCCATGAAGCAGATTGATTACCCTTATGACAGAAAACTTGCATCAAGGAAATGCTGGTGCCATTTTCTTGCAATTTTTTTGAGTCTCGGGTCTCTTGCTTACAGTATAACAAAAGGTGTTCTTATTTATAAAGTAAGATCACAGAAAGAGCATAAACTCCATCCAACTTACTTTGCCCTGGTCATAAGTGCTGTCGCATTTTCCTTCTTGGAAACTGTGTTTGCACTCAGTAGTTTTGTTGCTATGAGACGACTGAAATTGCTGCGAATTCTTCATACTCCTAATGATACTGAAGCCAAAAGGAAGCCACAGGTCAATTTAGGAAGATTGATGACTCTGGCCAAACCAGTAAGTGTTTTAGTTGATTTTGTAAACATTTTGCTGGCTGGTCCTTTAAGGACATTTAGACTTTGTGTAACATGTTCATGTTAATTTCTTTGGCATGAATGAGTTAACAACTCAATGAAGTTGGTTTTGTTGTGTAAAATTATTCATAATTCTAACCAAATTTAAATATATTGAAAAGGATATTAAAACACATGTCAGGGTGATGTGTGCATGGTGTTCATCAGAGTTTTATTCTAAAAAAAAAATAAGGGAATAAAATATGATGTCAGTAATTTTCATATTTACAAGCTCCCGTTTTGTTTTCCAAACTTACATGCATTTGTTAATTTACAGGAACTTCTGTTACTGTTGATAGCATCTTTGGCTTTGTTGGCATCCAGTGGGGCGCAAATTGCAGCTCCTTTCTTTTTTGGTAAAGTAATTCAAGCAGCAACAGAGAAAGGCATGAGTAAGTGAATGGTGATGTATATAGTTAACATTTGAGGAACACTTTTATGAAAATGGTTCACAATAGCAGATTATTGGAGATTTGTCTATGTTCAGCATTAATTTATCCAGAGGGAGAGGGAATAAGGAGGGTCGGGTGAGGATCAGGGTTAGGGTTTAGGGTCAGTTTGCCATTAGCAGGCAGAACAGATGGGAAACAAAATAAGCTGACAAACAAACAGTAGCCATTCTAAAGTTTAAATAGCTGCACCTGTTACCCTGAGGTTACCCAGTGGAGGAGCCTTGATCTACTTGACCTGTAGCTGGGAGCTGCTGGCTGCAAAGTAAACCATAGTAGTTATATGGTAAGAATATAACAATGTCATAACCAGTATGCCAATGTTGTGAATTTCTTTTTCATCACAGAGCATTTAAATGAGACCATCGTGATCCTTGCCCTTGTCTACCTTGGTGGTGCATTTGCTGCTTTGGTAAGAGCTTGGCTCTTTACCTTAGCTGGTCAGCGGCTTGTGGCTAGGATAAGAAAGAAGGCAAGAATCTTTCTTTACATAATTTAGAACATTACTTGTAATAACTGCAATCAATCAATCTAAAGTTGGTTGGATTTTCAGTTTTCTTTACATGTCAAGTACTTTGCACATACTAAGGAAAGTATCAATGCCTGTGTTTTAATTTCATGTTTAACCTGAAATTCTCATCTAATTTCTTTACTCAGCTGTTTAATGCTATTATGTGTCAAGAAGTGGCATTTTTTGACAATAACCGGTAAGAAAAACATTTAGTTTCTTATAAATAATGAAATGATGTGTGGAACAAGATAAAAAATAACTCAAGTTATTAACTCGGTTGATATTTTAATTTGCCCAGTGTAAATAATAAATTCATGGATAAGATTATTTGATTTACTCCTCACCTCCTTCATTAACAGACTGATTGAGGGACCATCTTTCTTTTAATTGTAACAATAAATAAATTAGAGTAACATTAATTTAGTATAAGGACCAATTTCATTGGTGAATTTGGTAAAACACTCAATGAATTAAGATAATACACTGATTGATTGAGAGTCATTTTCCTGACTGTGTGCTCATAGGACTGGTGAACTTATCAACCGACTGTCATCAGATACTCAAGTCATTCAAAATGCCCTAACAGTGAGTGGTGTAACTGGTTTATTTGGGATTTTTTGTTGCTTAATGTTATGAAATATATATTCACACAAACCCTATAAAGCTCTGACCTGCTTTTGTTCCATTGATTATGATTCATTCATTAATAAACTCAATTTCTCCAAATCAATTTCAAGATTAAAATGAAGTTATCTACTAGGGACATCTTTGTCAGGAATTTCTCAGTCAGAATGTTAGCAATCAATAGTACACGGTTTCTAAGTTCACATTTCTACCATAGGACCTTTCCTCTTATTTTCAGTTACTGACTGAAGGTAGTAATATGTGAACTGATAAATTTTTGCAAGGAAATATAATGCAGATGAAGAAAATAGAGTTATTGAATGATTGTGTTCATTTTTTGTGAAGGTGAATGTCTCCATGTTACTGCGGTACATATTCCAGATCATTGGCTCCTTGGTTTTTATGTTTACTCTGAGTGCCAAGTTGACTGCAGTTCTTATATCTGTTGTTCCCATTGTGGGAATTGGTGCTCAGCAATATGGTGGGTTAGCTGAGTTATGAAACTTTTAATTGTTATTGCCTAAGGAATACTGAGTACCTTCTGAAAAGGAAACTGAGGATTGATTTGAAAAACTTGCTGGTCAAAAAAAGTTCATTTTTAACATAACATGTCTATAATGGTGTCACTTTGTGCTAGTTTGTGAGACAGAAAACTACCCTTCTGGTTGGAAAATGAGGTTTAGCTATGGAGAAAACCCCACCCTGTTTCGCTCCATTCCAGTTCAGTTCTAAAAATGGTTACTTTTCTCTTTCAACTGTGAAGTAAGTAAAATTCTAGATCCCTAGTAAAACTGGGAAGCTTTAAACAATTTGTTTCCTCATCATTGGAAATTGTTGAAAGTGGCACTATAATAATTATATTATTGTTTCCTGGTGATTTAGGAAGTTATGTACAAAGATTAAGGAAGAAATTTCAAGATGAGTTAGCTGCAGCTTCTGCTACTGCAGAAGAATCAATTGGGAACATACGTACAGTGCGATCATTCTCTCAAGAGCGTAAAGCCATGGGAAACTATGGGACCGATGTCGATAAGAGTTACAAAGTTGGAGCTAAACTTGCCCTTTTTTCAGGTACAGGATGCTTTTTCTTTTTTGCATGATGAGACGATTTTAGTTTTTTTTATTATTTATTTACTTATTTTTACAAAATTTGCTTTTAAGTTGCTTCAGTCTATAAGCCCCTTGTTGTAAGGGTAATAGTCAAGAATGGATTTTCTTTTGAGAAGAAGACTAGAAAGTTTTGTTTATTTTGTGATGGAGAAATGAGAAGCAATGAAACATCATAGAGGTATACCTTTTTGGTCAGTACAACAACTACGAGGATAGAAATTATTATTTATAATTAGTAGTTTGGGTAAATAGTTGATTTTTGTATCCATTCTGGGTAAAAATCGGGAATCAAATAAATCCAGACCATTTTTTGATCTTGCCTACTTCTGTATAACAAGAATTTTCTTTGTAAGTCAAGGAGAGTCACTGTAAGTGATGCTTTTTTTAACATTCAACATTCTATTTTACCCGCAGGTTTATTTCAAGGTGTCATTGGTATTATTGGTCAGGTTTGTTACTTGAAGTAGAACTGTGCTTGTGTAAGCTTCTTTTATGTCTTTCATATCTTAAGAATCATTCTGTTTTTCAAGTTTTCTTACACATTCCCTAAGGAGGAAAAACATTTTTCAGTTGTAATTATTGTTTATATTGACTGCTGATTGTTTGTATTTTACATGTTAGGGTGCTGTTGTGTTGGTCTTGTGGTATGGTGGTAATCTAGTCAATCACGGTGAACTTAATGTTGGAATTTTAACAGGTAAATTATTTGAAAATTAATTTTAAGGACATGATTGGGTTATTTACTCCTCACTATGAATACCAAACTAATTAATTAATTTGGCAATTATAATTGGTCATCATTAATAACAATATGAATATTCATCTTATTGTTTCCAAGCATTTATGCTGTACACTTTAAATGTGGCCATGGCATTTGCCTTCCTCTCATCTCTGTATGGAGACTTTATGCAGGTTAGTCTAGACTAGTTCAAATTTAAACCATTTCCCCTTCCCCCTCCAGTCTATTGTTGTGTTGCCCTTTGCATTAACCCTGATTGCATTTCATAGAGACAATGCACACATGCAGCATTTCCATTCTACCATTGCTGGTAGCATTAGATGCCCAAGGGGCCACTGCAATAAAAGAAAAATTGTTTAAAGTGGAAAAAGTGTAGCTCAATTCTATTTAAATTTTCAGTTTCTATTTCACTTCTTATTCAATTTTTTTTCATTATTGTGATGATCTGAAAAATAAGGGCAACTTCAGTTGAATTAACAATGGCACAACTCATTAATGGAATTTCTTAACCTTCATAGAATTTGTTTTTTCAGGCTGTTGGTGCATCAGTGCGCATGTTTCAGCTGATGGATCGCTTACCTGCTATAAATGTGGATGGAGGACAAAAACTTCACTCTGTTAATCAAAGTAAGTGTCAAGTGTGAGGCATGTATATTTTATTAATATTTTCAACTAAAAGTGATTGTCCTGCTGGAACATAATGCTAATTCACTGATGAAAATTAATTGAATGTCACTAATAGTCCAAAAGAAAAATTAGAAATAAACACACACGAAAAAAAGAGCACAAACCTTGAAAGAAAATGCAAGCCATAATGATCTTCAAATTCCCACCAGGTGCCATATTGAGTCTAGATTTTTGCACTTGTTTCATTCAACTGGTTCTCAGAGGGGTAGGAGAAATGAATTTGTTAACAACAGAATGTTAATCACAGAAGAGGATTTTTATTTTGATGACATTTCCATCTATACTTTTTTGCTTGTTTATGGTATGGTTTATTCCTATATGTCAGTTGATACATTTTAAGTTGAAGTGTCTATTGAGGGTTAGTTAAAGCTTTGTTTTGAAGTAAATTTCCTAAAAATCCTCTCATAAACTAAGTTCTATTTGTAATGATAGTCACTGTCCAGAATTTTTTTAAAACTTTTTTTCCTTGAAGCAATCCAGTTTCAAGAAGTCTGCTTTGCTTACCCATCAAGACCAGATACTGATGTTCTCAAGGTAAAATCATCACTATTTTGAGAAAAATACCAAGATTTCCTTAGAAGTGAACCTGTGTGTTATTAAGCATCTGAAAACCTATTGAAAACTAATTATAAATACATTTTGTGATTTCACATTTGTCAGGCGATGTCATTTGAACTAAGACCTGGTCAGACTGTGGCACTTGTTGGGCCTTCTGGTGGTGGAAAGTCAACAGTGATAAGCCTAATTGAGAGGTTCTATGATCCAAAGTCAGGCATCATCACCATTGGTTGGTGTTAAATATTGTCCTTAGATGGACTTTCTGCCTCTCACTAGTGATGAGGAAGATGGTTTTACTGATTAAAGATCTTGTAGTTTGCAACACTGAACTGTACACCATCAGATAACAGCTATGTCTGCACATTGTTCTGGTCAGCTCTCAAAAATTTTGGAGGGCTTGTATAATTCAAGGGCTTGTTTGTTTTATTGTTAAAAAAAAACATTTGGAGTCAAACTTGTTCTTGATCATGTCATAGGAGGAACAAACTTGGGTGAACTGGACCTGTTTTGGATGAGACGCAAGATTGCCCTTGTAAGCCAGGAACCAGTTTTGTTTGCCACAACTATAGCTGGTAATATTGCTTATGGACGTGATGCCACTTTAGAAGAGGTTGGTACACTATTATATCAAGGTGTCTTTCATATCAAGTATCTTTATATTGGCTGCCTCAACTATACCCTACAGATCTCTAACAGAAACTTGTGGCATAATGCTCACCTGAAGGCATAGGGTGGCTGCTGAAGTTAAACCATCCAATGTGGGCAGTGAAATAGAATTGCTTGCTTGTGAATTACTACTATGTTTTATTATCTTTCCTCTCTCTGTCCATAGATAGAGGAAGTTGCAAGGCAAGCTAATGCTCATGCCTTTATCACAGCATTTGAGGTAATATACCACTCACTCAGTTGATCAGAATATTTATAAATGTAAAACAAACATCATAGTAATGGATTGTTCAATTAAACCATAGGAAGGATATCAGACTCAGGTTGGTGAGCGTGGTGTGAAGTTGTCCGGAGGTCAAAAGCAGCGGGTAGCTATTGCAAGAGCTCTTCTGATGAACCCTGATATTCTCCTACTGGATGAGGTATGTCTTGCTTTGAGGATTATTGTTCAATTTTTTCCCTATTAAAAGTAGAAAGTAGGAAAGGACATTGCCATGCTATGTTCCTGAAATGTTTTGCTTTTATTTGCAAAAGTTATGCAAGCATATACTTTGTGTAATCCCAGGAAAATAACTGCTGTGGATTTCCATTTTGAATCATCTTTTTAGGCAACAAGTGCTTTGGATGCTGAAAGTGAACATTTTGTGAAGGAAGCAATTGATCGGGCCATGAAGAACAGAACAGTTCTAGTAATAGCACATAGGCTGTCTACTGTGCGCAATGCTGACCAGGTTTGTTTTAAAAGAATGTTTTAAAAACCTTGGTTTGAACTCTACTTGAAGATATTTCTTTCTTTTAATGATTTTACTTTATGCAGTAAAAATTATGTACAATTTTTAGTGTCTTCATCAGATTGAGATACCCACTTGATGAAAAAAAATTTTCATTTTAGCTTATACTTCAAATCCTTTAGGAACAAGGAAATATGCCCTTTTGTATTGAGAATCCACAAGCAAACATCTGTTTTGGAACACAATTTGTTAATGTGTTAGGCAATTTCCATTCCTTATAAAGATAAACTATTAACCTTTTCTACAGGTATTGGTCATTGATAAAGGCCAGATTGTTGAGCGAGGTACCCACAAGGACTTGCTGGCTAGTGAAGGTGTTTACAAGAAACTTGTGTTGCGACAGCTGAGTACATCCCAAGGTGCCTCTGTTGTAGATGTTGAGGGTTTTGACCCAGATCATTTGGAGACAGGCGAACCTCCCATTGATGAAGAGGAAGAATCCTAGTTAGACTTTTACAGTTCAACTAGAATCTTGTTGTTTCTTCTGTGATCTTTTTTAACAGCAAACATTTTAGACATACAACAATAAAAAAGTAGTGAAAAGTAGTTGTCCTAAGTGTAGGACAAACAGCTCCAAACACCCATTACTGACCAAGAGTATTGCTGGGAAGGATCTCTGTGCTATTGTGTAACCCAATTTTGTACAAAACTTAATTAATGCTTCTGTTAGACAACCATTGACCATATTTCTACACTGCAACTACGAAAATATGAAGGTAAATATTTAGAGGGAGCATAACCGATCACTGATTCAGAGTCATTAATTAGTAGTTGTGTTGTGATCTGTGTTTTGCCTCTGATACCTGTAAGACATTAATTTTTGAAGTTATTTTTTATTCAAAAACTTATTGGTTGTTTAATACTTAAACTTAGAAGAATAATGTAACTCAGGACTAAGTGTGCAGGTTCACTGTAGGATAGTGCTGGTGTCATTCCTTTAGGTCATTCCATAAGGTCACATTAATTGAAATGTTACACTGTTAGTACGTAAATGCAGAATATTGTTTTTTATTAGGAAATAACGATAAATAATTGGCTCTGTGGAAAATTTATTGTCATAAGTCATCAGTGGGGAACAAGGCAGCATAATCCAGACTCTCCCTTGCTACATCTGGAAGGGTTCAGTTGTTGCCTGTGCCATCTTGTTTACTTCACTAATTTTCTTTCAAATCCACCTAATAGAATGCATTTGTATGAGCACAAATATTTGATAGCTTATGCCTCATCAATTGGCCATGATATAAATTACTCTGAGTGTTTTCCCTGATGTTGCCAGCATCTCAAGGGAGCATACCACAATCTGCACATAATAAGAGTGCAGACTTTTAATAAAAAGAGTTACATCTTTGAGAATTTCTCCATTCTTTGTAACGTTCTAAATAAGGCTGAGCCAGAACAGACACAATTCATTGGCTCTCCAATTTCTTTGTAATTTTGTGTTTTAAAGAAGTTCACGGCCTTGACTGCACTTTCAAGTCTTATTGGTCTTAATCTTCTTTGCCTGAGTTCTTGTTCCATTGCACTTAACATTTTCCCACCAAAACCTTGTCCCTGTAAAATTAAACCCATATCAATTAAAATAACTTGCCTAGTGGCCACTTCTCGGAGACCTGCAATCATCCTTGATATGACCGAAAGCAATATAGAATACCAGTATGTTGGAGACATGGTTAAATGGGAACTAAATTTTTCTTACTTGGAATTTTCCTTTGACAAAAATAAAGTTAATCCAGTGGAAATAATGTTCATTTGCTGTATCTTCAACATTATCCTTTGCCAGTTTGGCACAGATTACACAGACAACTGGATCTAAAAGGGAGAAACACAAACATCCTGCTTTACAAATGGTCGAATCACCATTTTTTCAAGGTCATCACTTGTGGTGAAGTACTAAATTCAAGGTTCTCTGAAGATCTGGATAAAGAGGGCAAGATTCTAAAAAACACTGTGGTGCTACATCAGTGGGAGAGTATAACAGTATAACGAAATACGAGTTCTGTGAACCAGCGTGGCAGAGAAAAAGAGACCACACATGATAGAAAAGATGGCCAGACAAAGTAACTGTTCCAGCCAAGAGTAATTCAAGTTTGCCACGAATAAAAAAGCGCAAGTATATAGGAGTTTTCACCTTGGTACAAATAAGGTCTCGTGACGTGCCACTGAATTAACAGCAGTTCAAGCTTTCTGTTCTAACAAATAAAGTTATATTAGGTCTTATCGTGCCTTTTTCGTCCAGTTTCTCTCCAAACATCACCAAGTCGTCGTCTTGTGGCTCCATTGATTCTCCACAAGTATCTCTAGCAACCTGACGAAACTTCCTTCTGTTCTTCGTGTTTAATTGTACTTGATAGATATGGAAGCCATGCTCAATCCAGTCACTGAAAAAAAAAAACACAAAAATAAATAAAAAAGATGGCAACGAAAAATTTATGCTTAATAGTTATCTATACGTTTTGGGAGCATCAGCAGTATTCAACACAACATTATGTCTAGATAAGAGACCTCCATCAAGTAAAGAACTCCTCTATGATTAAGTTTATATCGCATAACGTTGTCTAACACCGGTGAAAGACTAAAGTGCCTCGATATTTTAATAATAAAACAAACATGTTTCTTATTCTTACCTCATCCTCACACTTAGATTCCTGAAACAGAGCGGCTAAAAGCGTAAACTACGTTTACTTGTCTGCCAATGAGTCGTCCGCCATGATGAAAAACATTGGCACCCAGGTCTTCCGACACCCTCGCCGGTAAAAAACCCTCGCAGCACAGTGGGGCCGAGCAAATAAGTTAAAAAGAATTCCAAGAGACTCTCAACGTTTTAAAGCCAAACTGATAGAGGGTTCGATCACAGTCTCTTCATAGAGCACTGAAAAGAAATCTATTGATTAAAGGATAAATTTCTCAAGGGTTTTCCTCTGAAAGACTATTGCCTTCGTCTTTGTTCTGGAAAACGACCTGAGGAAAATATTTGCATTTTTAGTTCAATCCAACTTTGAAAGAGGTTGAGGGGTATCCATTTAAATTCTCAATAACTGATCCTTCTGCCCCATGCACAAAGTGCTTTGTTCTTTATCAATCTCTTACCTTAATCATGCTGTTTTAACACATAGCAGGAAAAAAAATTTATGGATAGTGCCTCAACAAAGAATAAAACTCACTAAACTGGTGGGGAAAGTCTTGATCAACTTTAATGAGTCCCTCCTAACAACTGAGTCAACAACACCACTTATTTTGGTTAGTTAACCAAACTCATCTAAATAAATCCTACTTCATTCCTGCACTCCTTCTTAACGGCAAGTATTCTGTTACATTTTCCATTTGTTATATTACTAGTACCTAATTAAGTGACCATTACAGAGTCAGCCACCAATATGAATAATTAACTTTTAGGCTAGTCTAAATGTACAAGAAAATTTTGGAACAGAACAAATTTAGCATGAAAATTGCGAGATGAGAAATTAGCACACCAGTATCAAAGCTTGGTAGGATACCGCAACAAGATTTTGCCTAATTATCTCTTTAAGACAAAATTTGCAGTTAATTAGGGCTCGAAAATCCTCAAGAAAAGCAGAAAGTGAGTGAATGTAAACAGGAAACAAAGACTTCTCCACCAAAATATTGCAGGATTGACTTAATTCTTTGCTTAGTTACTTGAATTAAACCCTCACTTTTGTTTGAATACAGTAACCACATCAGTATCAAAGTAGCCTGATCCTGATAAAAGAAACCCATTATTTTTTTATTCTAAATTATCCTGCTTTGACTGATAAAAGATAATCATATAGAGGAGTCCTTAGTTTTCATCTCATCATTGAAATCTGACAAGTAAATGACATTCCTGATCACTTCTAACAAATCAAGATGGGGAGCTGGCAATCTATCACTAACTTACTGTGGTCATAGTGTTTCTTATGAGTTGTAGGGCAAGCAGATCATCAGGGTTTTCTAAAAAACCTGCTTCAAAATTTTCAACTTCTGGTGGTAGAATAGAACCTAATCCCTCCTGGCTCCTTGGAAAACAAAGAATTCTAATTCATCCACCTACTTGCCATATTTATTTATTTAAAACTTATACTAATGTTTATCATAATTTCTTTTTATAATTCCTGTTTAATAACTGACCTGATGGTGTTTGTCCCTCTGAGAACATCAAAGAAATCTAATAATATCTAATATCACCAAGAAAGCTAATATGGAGTGTTGGCTGAATTAACCTATTATAAATTAAATAGTTATACACAGCTAGAAACAAATGTCTACAAGAATTTTCACAGAGCAAAATGAACAACTACTAATAAAACAAAAGCATCAGAGCTGTTGTTAGTCCACAGTATGCAGATTAATTAGAAGTATAAGGAGGTGGAGACTCTTTGGGAGTGTCTTTAACTGCATCCTCATAATTTGGCAGAAGACTATGAGTCTGCAAAGAAAGCAATAAAGTTTGAGTGGCTTCTTGTTACATACATAACTCATAGTGGTGGTTCACAACAAAACATTTTAACATAAGGGTGCTACTGATGTTAACAATCTTCCGTATTATATGATCATGGTAGATGAACAGGCCCTGTTATTCAAGTTGAACCTGAGAGCAACAATCACCAGGCATCACTAACAACATAAGTGTAGACCTAACAAATACCCACCACAATTTATTTTATTTATTTGCAAATTTTAGAATATTCAACTTTCAAGCTGGTTTAAATAGGGGCCAGTGTTACCATCAAAACAGCCAGACCACAACACCAAGAGCTACCTTCCAAACCCATTGTGAGATATGCATGGGTTCTTTGGCATGTGCTAAAACCCAGGACACCAGAACATGCAGGAACACAGGAACATCCTGTAACTTCAGTCTTTGAAGATCTTTTTGTCTCTTGTTTTAGCTGTGACTAAATGCCCGACAGCTGGCACAGTCTCAATTGACTAAATGCCAGAAAATTTCACAGAATTTCCACAAAAGGTTCTTTCAGACTTTTAAAAATATCAAATGATTGTTTAAAAATGTCAAGTAATTCCAAAAATTACTGTAATTTCTGGCCATTTACCCTCGGGTAATCTGTTGATTTTTCATTAAACGCACACCACTGCGGGTGATAGGGAGGTGCAGGTTATGTGACAATTTAAAAATCTACTCGTAGTTGAATTGGAAAAAATTATCACCTCTCAAATGAATTTTATTGTATTAAGAGTGCCACAAAGCAGCACGAAAACATGATGCCAACTCAAGTTTATTTAACGCATAATTAGTTGCGTGATAAACAAATTGCAATCGGCATGCGTGAAAACAAAACCTTGATGATGACAAAAATAATCCAAAGATATCCGGCACATCAGTAACAAATTTCCATTTAACACTAGCTTGAGCTAAAGAGAATTTTCCTGTTTTAAGGGACTTGTTAGGCCCAATAGAACCAGAGATAACGATTTTTTTCAGAAATCGCTGACAGTACTTTATAATTCAAGTTTTAACACTCGCCCAGCTTTCTTTCGACAAATCAACATGGTGTTGAACGATCGCTCGCACAAAATATGCCCGCAAATTTGCTTTTTGTCAAGTATGAAATGTTGAGATTTGGACATGGGCCACTAGTGTTTTTACTGTATAACTTTATCAATAAAATACATACTAACATTGACACAGAATTGTGCACATGTCTGAATTTCTTTGATCTTTGAACTTGACAAGGGACGCTTTCAAGTTTTTGAAAGTTAGATCAGACAACTTTTAAAAGACTGAAATGTATCACCTTAATGTTGAAATAATAAAGTTGAATAACATAAAATGCGTTTTATCCACCAGTGCGGGTAATCTGTTAACTTTTTTTTTCGCTGTATGCAATAATCCGCCAGTGCGGGTAATCAGCCGTGTGGGCAAATGGCCAGAAATTACGGTAGTTTGCTGTCTTAGAGGACAAACTCACCAAACTTGTTCATACTTTAATATTGCATGATTGTTGACACTCAGAATTCTGCCTTTCTGATCAGACTGCCAGACACAGTCTCAAATGGACTAAATGCTCAACAGTCAGACATTTTCACCAATATGTTACTGAAAGATTCCTTGAGTATGAGATATTTGTTTAGAAATGTCATGTGATTCCAAAATTTTATTTGGTTTTTTAGTGGGCAAATTATGAGAGGTTGAGCATATTACATTTGAAGTGATAACAATGGATTGCAGATGACAAGAATGGAAAACCACCATTCTCCATGTTGCAAAACAGTGAGTTTACTGGTCAGCAAAAACTAAGATGGCGGACTTGACGCACTAAGAGCGCAAGCTACACACAAATTCAGTTTATATATTTTACATATTCAGTTTAACTTTTTTTTTATCAAATTTAATATTAATTTTTTTTTAATTTCACAGTGTTCCAACATGTTCTGGTGTTTCATGTTTAGGCTCATGCTGAGTTCTATTACCACAACCAAAAGAAATCAAACCAGGTTCAATGCAGTGGTAGGAAAATGGTCCCATTACCATGACATACAACACCCCTATATATGTTGTGGTAAGGTACTTGCCATATTTTCATACTGCAAGTGTACAACTTCGTAAGGATACAACACCATGGATATATTCATACAATATCTGGTGAGCGACATATTAAGTTTCTAATCAGGTAAAACAGGTTAACATTGGTTTAATAGGCCTGCATAAAACCCTACATTAAAAGTAAGAAAAGAAAGCCACCTTTCAGTTTGACATCAGTCAGGTTGAAGTCAGCAAATACTCTGCTCTACATAGACAGACCAAATCAAACTTTCTAAAAAAAAAAATTCTAACTAAATAGACAACACTCACCTCAGTTTCATCTGACTGATTGATTTGAAACATGAACGAGTTTCTGGCCTTCTTCACATGGAAACTGAGCAAAATTTTGTAACACGACCAAACACAGGCAATCAAGTAAGCCTGAAAAAAGAAAACATCTATTCAACCAATGCTCAGTTCTCTTTTAAGACAGTGATTCAAACTGTACGAAACAAAATTTTTATTATACCCAGGATGTATCTCTCCAATAGCATGCGAGTTACTCCTAAGTAAATGTTTTATTGAATGTAACAAGAGCAACAGGCCAGATTAGCTTACCTTAATAGTTAGAATTGTTACAGACACCACCACAACTGTCAACATCAGAGTCTTCATGTCCATTTTGTCCACAGCATCACCAACAGGAAAGTTGGGCTTTAAACCAACACAAGGAGTCAAAAAAAGTATACTTTATTAAAATTAAAAATGATTAAGATGAGGTCAACAAAAATACTGAAAAGACATACACTTCCAACATAAACTGGAACCCTACTGACTCCAACTTATTTATTTCCCTTAAGAGTTTGAGTTAGCTGGGTTATACAGTACATCTTTATCTCAGGTGGTTTTGCAACAAAAGGCAAAAAACAATCAAAACCCTTGCCCCATTGTGCCAATGCTTACGTCCAATCTTTCTGAACAAAAACCTTTATTAAAAAGAGTCTCTCTGCAAAAAAGCCATCGTCAATTATTTTTAAGCACAAGAAGAACCACATAAAACAATTCATTCACACAACATCAGGATGACGAGATGAAAATGAAAATATAATTTAGCAATTAAATTTAACTACCAACCCAAACTTGAGACTCACATTGTTCTTTAGCATGAGTTTCAGCTCTGGTATATAACTGATTGCACCAACAGCACCCAACAGATTTACACAGAAATCAAACACTTGCATACAAAAAAATGGCAGCAGATAAGTTGGCTCACGCTGAAACATACAAAACAGCAAGCAAATTTAATCTTCTGCTTATCTCTGAGATACAATGAATACCTGACAATGTCAGACACTTGAGTTCCTAGTAATCAAGGTTTGATTCCATTCCAAACAATCTCAAAGATATAATACTTACAGTAATGGCACCATAAATCAGCAAAATTGTGATCAGAAAGGAGAAAAATGCTATGGCCAGTGCAACTGAGTTATCAGCTGAAAACATGAAAGAAATGATTTTAATTTAACCACACCATGTACACTTTGTAACTGTATCAGGTGAGGAGGCAAAGCTTTTATGTCTTACTGTTAGCTTCTTTTTTTTTAAACTTTCTGAACTTTAAATTTTTAAGGCTGTTCATTTTATTCACAAAAACCTTTCTTTTGAGAAAGCAGCACAACAGATTAGAAAAACAAATAAAGAAAAAAAAAGGAAAAATACTGAAATTCCAGAATGTTTCCAGACCACAACAGCATATCAAAGCTATGCTTTCATACAAACCTGATCGTGGTGTGGTGCCATAAGTTTCAAAGTACCTCTCTTGGTACAGTTCTGGATGCAGCAACATTTGAGTCAACACCACCAAACCAGCAATGTGAATCAACTAATAAATAGAACAAAATCAACATGCCCTTGTCAGCTAATGTAGCTGCCTTTCTCAGATAAGAAGGAGGAGGAAATTCTTCTTCTAATGTACAAGGTGCCACAAAGTCAAAGATGGGTATTTTCCTATGGTTTGGGATGAGGGCCTTCCCAAACATCAGAGATTGAGATTTCCAGGGAAAGTGAGTCCAGATCAAAGATGACAATTCATGTGAAAGGAAGTTGGGGAAGCTAGGATGGTAAACCTTTCTGTGGATACTAATTTCTAGTCATTCTCAGAACCTTGCAGCATCTTAAAATGAAGGAACAAAAAAAATGTCACAAGGATCTAGAATCACCCAGTGAATAGATTGGATTTGATTATTGCTCGCTCTGTAGATGGTTTCCACAAATTCATAATTTAAATATATTCTAACATATTATTTGTAGAGAATTATATTATACGTAAGTAACAGTATTGGACAAACAAAAAATACTGGGAATATTGAAAAAAAGAGTATCACTTTTCTTACAAAATATCAGCAGCTCGACTTTCAGCATGCTTAAATAACATTTTCCCTTTCAGCCATAAATATGTAATACCCATGATTAATAATAGGAACAACGCAGTTGAAATCGAAAAGGAATAAGATCAATACGCATATGGTGTGTTAAAGCGTTCGTAACTTTTGGTTTCTTTCGTCGACCGGCTTCTAATTAACCTTCAAGAATCTAATAATAAATGAAATAAACAAAAATAATTCATTGCCGAAATAAATGTTTGTAAGAAGTAGTAAATTGCTAAATGTATCTTCATCCGGAAGAATGATCCGAAGCTATCGAATCCGACGACTTACAGTGCGGAAGCTGAACTTAGAATAAAACAGATCACATGAAGCAACCAATACTAGTGTTTGAAAAGCCGGCATAAGCTTACAGCTTTCATTACAAACATCAGAACTAAATACTGAGAAGGAAAGCGTCGCAATCTCACGATTGCTTACCAGATGGCAAAATCCGAGCACAATTGTGCCCAGGCGAACGTCCATACAGCAACAACAAGTCTTCATAACCGAATTCTCACCGTCTACATCATCAGACATTCTTCTCGGTTTCATCCTTCGCCAAATTCAAAGCTGAAATCCGCGATTATCTCCCAAACTACCAGCAATATTTATCAATTTCAGTAATAGCTCGGCTAATATGGCGAAACGAAATCACAAGTACCGTAAGAAGAGACTCATGGGAAATATAACGTCATCACCTTACTGCGATGCATTGTAGGATTCATCGGTCCTCACTACCTAGACTTCGCCTGGACAATCAAGTGTTTCCTTTTCCGGTCCAGTCTTAGCGGAGTAACTCCCAAGAATAGTTTTAGGGAAAACAAGATGAAAGAAAGGCCATTTTCAGTGGCTCTTTTCTTTGGGGTTATTTGGATTGTTTTACCCTGTCTTGGTAATTTTGTTGAGCTTCCAGTGTGGGATAATCTGAACATTGGACTATGTGGATTGGCATTAATTCTATGTATTTGTGTCTACCTCACGGAATACCTCGGATTATTTCCCCTTAACTACAGGTGAGTTAATTTGAGTTTGATTAATATAATAAATAGCTTATTTTTTAGAAACAAATTACTAAGTACCTCTTTGAGGTGTTTAACACCTCGTATAAAATTATACTTGACTGTTATTAAGATAGCAGTCAAGTATAATTTTATGCATCCATCAGTTTAGAGATTAAACACACTTTCCCCTCCCCCTCCCGGCTACCCCTCAGACATTTGAACTTTTGGAGAATGAGATTGGTTCGTTTACATTTCTGCCACCAATGGGCCAAAACTGTGTATAGATGCCTTACCCAAAGGCCGGATTTGATGGTCAATTCTTTTGTAAAGGCAAGATCAGCAACTATGACTTTCTTAACTTCTTAACGACCTTTTCTTCTAAGCTGTCTGAAGTTCGAAGTTTATTAATTCATAATTGCATAGCAGCTTGAAAACTGAATTGTGTATTGACCCTAAAAATTATATTGTAAAAATCTAATCATCAACTGATCTATCTTAAAAAAAAAGGATGAAAAAAAAGCTAACGAGAGATAAGCTGCTAAAAAGCTATCATGATACAAGCTGCAAAATTTGAAAACCTTAAAGTATAAATTAGTTGCTTTGAGACATAAAAAAGATAATAAAGGTATTTTTAAATCAGTCAGTTTTAAAACGTGGCATCTTCAAAGGGTGCACATGTCTTAATGAATAGGCAGTTTCATGTGGTGCAGGTAATAAGTTATAAAGGCGGTGATTATTGTCTGCTCCCAAAAGTGAACTCTTTACCTTTAAATACCTCTATATTTAAAGATAAAACATGTGTATACCAATGGAAAGACTAGACAGTTCCAGTTCATATTTCCAACCCCACCCAGGCAAGGTCAAAAAAAAGAAAGTCTCTTGTTTATGGATGATAGTCAAATGCCTGTGGGTTGCCCTGGAGAAGGGGCAAGCTTAAAATTGGTAGGCCCATAAGTTTCAAAATTCTGCCCCTTGTTGTGGACTTCTTGAAACATATGAGCTACACCCCTGTCCCGCTTTCATTGATTTCCACAAAATGAGTACATTGTCAATTGCTCAGAAGACAGTAGATTTCTCAGGAGCTTGCGAGACTAATGAAATGATCTTCCATTTTCTTAAGCAAATTTTCCTCGCATGGAGAAATAAATTCACAACTTGGTTGGTCCATCTGCTATGGTGCACCTCTTGTGTTGTATGCCATATTGTGGTATTTGTCTGGAATGCCTCAGACAATCTTCCAACTTGTATCTCTGGTAACTTACCTGGGTCACTTCTTGAAAAGAATCATTGAAGCCCTTTTTATACACAAGTATTCCAAGAACATGCTTCTTCTTCCAGTTATAGAGGTACAGTAATTGTTATGACTTTTTGGTCTGAATTTTAATTTCTTTAAACATGTAACACATTATTTTCACCAATAACATACCCACAACATTCAATGATGATCTATGAACACTTAAATGTTCCCTATGATAAATGTCCTTAATCAGCAATCCATTAACCTTTCTGTTTGCCCTTCATGCTTTGAAACTAGATAGTTCTAGTTTTTATATAGTTCAGATTTTCCATGCTTTATGAATGGGTAAGTGTAATTGGATTTGGCTTCAACTTGTCAGAGACCAGAAAGAGCACAAACATCAAATTTTTACAAACATCAAAACATAAAATTTTTCCATTGGTATTTAATTCAGTTAAAGTGACTGTCTCTTGTTTTACCAGATTGCCATGTTCTACTGTCTTGGTGCAGTCACCCAGCACTACTGGTGTAATATTTACACCCATGGACCTTTAGCTGATAAGTTGTCATCTAACTATGTGGCATTAGTGGTTGGCGTACCAGTGTTTGTCATTGGTGAATCCTTAAATTTCTATCATCATCATATTTTGGCAAGTCTGAGGCCTGCCGGTACATTAACTGGTTATGTTGTTCCACATGCAGGATTGTTCCATTATCTTGTGTGTCCTCATTATCTTGGGTTAGTGTCATGTTTATTATCTGTAAATACCTAGACATGATGTTGCACCTGATAAGAAAACTCTCTTGGAAAGCAGACCTGGATCCACCCAGTGTAACATTAGACCTTGCAGTCTTCACTTTTCAGTTTTCTTGGGTTCATCTTATGAAGGGGTGGTAAGCAGTCCTTCTATAGGCAACCCCATGTCAGTAGGAAGTAGGAGGAAGTTCACTGACTCGTAACACTCTGAAATTTCTGCCCCTTGATAATTGTTGTAAACACAATGGTGCAGTATGACTACACTCTATCTTATAATTTCAATGTGTGACCATCTTGCCCAAGATAATACCATTCACTGTCCAAAACCGAAACATAAAACATAACAATAATGATTGACACTGCCAAACCAAAACCTCAGATATTAATTAAAGACATTTTACATTACAACTAGAGGAAAGAAGGAATACAATCATGGTCAATACATTTTGAGAAAATTGAACTACCTTTACAATCACTTATTTTTTCCTTTAGAGAGTTGATTGCTTGGTACGGCATGGCTGTAGCTGGTCAACATCTGGGTATGTACTTAGCTTGGTTAGTTATGGTGTGTTACTTGTCTGGAAGGAGCCATCAAACACATCTTTGGTATCTAAAGAAAATTGAAAACTTTCCCAAGGACAGGAGAAACATATTTCCTGGAATCTTCTAACCATGGGATTGTCATGTGTTTATTTCACTTTTTAATTTAAATAGTATTGATTTATTTCAAAGTATTGATTAGATGAGAGCTAATGCATTTGAAGTGTTAGGATTAGTTTAGGGAACCTGTGGAGATTGTAAGGATACTGAAGCTGTGAAAACTTTATTCTGTAGTCTTGTCAGACAGCATTTATAAAATGCATGTGAAATCAGGAGTCCTTACTCTAAGAATAACTAAGATATATTGGGGACTGTCAAGTAAAGGCCAACTAGTTGGATATTTAAAAGTGATCCTACATATGGGAGTAGGTTTTTCAAGTTAGTGGTAATTTAAATAATTTTTAGTTTTTTATCAAATTGTTTACATATTAGTCAATAAAGTTAACGACAATCTGTAAGAAAAAAAAATAAAGTGTTTGCTTCAAGGCTTTTATGGTGTTTCCCAATACTTTATTTCTATGACAACAGAATGTTTTCCAGAGTCCTCTTCTGTACAATGGTAAGGAGCAGCTGAAGAACTATTAAGTTCTAAGTAATAATAGTTTAAAAATTTGAAAAGCTTGGGCTTCATTATTCAAAGACAGTCGTGATAAAGAAAACATATACAGAAAAGTGAATTCCAAGAAACAAAGTGGTAAATATTTATTAAAATAAATATTAATGGTTCTGAATTCCCCCAAACTATCTCAGGTAGCAAAAGCATTCAAAATAGTCTAAATGGCCAACAAAATCATGACATGTATAGTCTGCTCTATGAGCTAGAAAGGTTTTTGGATCAAATGCCTGTTGCAATTCCTATTAATGATCATGTGCAACTGACTATGTTTGCTGTGGGGGAAAATGCACAGATAAGAATGGTTAATTTTTCATTCCCCAGTTTAATACTAAAATTGTATAAGTGCTAATTCCTTTGAGAGAACATTTACAGACATGAAAAATATTTCTTTGTTAGAAGTGATGCTATTGGGCATTATGGCCCATTTTGCAGGCAGAGATGCGTTTTAGCCCACTCTCAAACTCATGGCATTATTCAAGACTGGTTTGTTGTTAGTTTTTCCAGGTTTTTATTTTCTCAATGCTTTAGCCCTTCTTAAAGTCATTTCATCCCTCAACAAACATGTCTCTGAGTCCAACCCAAAACATATTGCTTTCCTTCAAAAAAATTGTGGGAGCAATGGATAAGAAAGCAACAAGTTGATTAAAGCATCTTGGTATGAAATGAAAGCATGTTGAGGACCACCATTGCTTCTTTTTTTTTTTTTTTTTTTCCCGTACTCAAACCCTCTAGTGTTGTAGAATTAATACTATAATAATGTAATAATCACCATGTCTTAAATTTGTACAGTCAGGTGGTAACTATGGCCATCATATAAATGTGAACCAAAACTCACAGCAAGTCACTCACAAAACAAAAAGTTTACAATACACATCTGGTAAAATTAACAAAGTATGCTCCATTTACGACCATTCAAATAATGAATGTCAATTATATTGCCAAACAAGTGTCACAGACATCTTGCATAAATTTTCATTTTTACTGAATGATATTACACTAGCAATGCCAATAAGAACTCTCAGATCAGGAATTTTACTTCTATGAAGCCCTAGTTGCAAAGAGATGGCCTTTGCTTTTTTTTTTCCAATTGAGAGGATACTCATTCCCTTGCCACATCTATTATTAAAAACACTTTAAAAATCTATAAATTCTTTACAAAAATTCATAATATGAAATTAATAATATTTACAGCAATAGAGTGAGCTGTACATTACAGTATATTATTTTTACTAGTTAGAGTCCTTTTAATAATTCCATCTAACAAAAAAAATAGATGTAAAGTAAAAATCCTCTTGGCGCCTGTATAAAACTAGGGACGATGGAACCTAAAAAAAAAAAAAAAAAAAGAATTAATTGGTTAAACAAGTCATGCCTTCTAGTTATATATTCTTCTTTTAATTACAAGAGATACTTTGAAAAAACTGTTAACTTAGAGCTGACAAGTTAATGACTAAGACAGTTAACAATCTTTGAACAACCTGTTAACTTAGAGCTTACCAGTTCTTACAATATAGAAGGTAAACAAGCTTTGAACAAACTGTTAACTTAGAGCTAACAAGTACTTATGACAAAGATAGTTAGCAATCTTTGAACAAAGGCTAACAGAGAGCTAACCAGTTCTTGAACAAAGGTTAACAGTTACTTAGAGCTAACAAGTGCTTATGACTAAAACAGTTAACAATCTTTGAACAAAGGTTAACTTGGAGCTGACAAGTTCTTATGACTTAGACAGTTAACAATCTTTGAACAAAGGTTAACTTGGAGCTAACAAGTTTTTATGACTAAGACAGTTAACAACCTTTGAACAAAGGTTAACGTGGAGCTAACCAGTTCTTATGATATAGAAGGTAAACACGCTTTGAACAAACTGTTAACTTAGAGCTAACAAGTGCTTATGACTAAGATAGTTAGCAATCTTTGAACAAAGGTTAACTTGGAGCTGACAAGTTTTTATGACTAAGACAGTTAACAATCTTTGAACAAAGGTTAATGTAGAGCTAACCAGTTCTTACAATATAGAAGGTAAACACGCTCTGAACAAACTGTCAAGTTAGAGCTAACAAGTGCTTATAACAAAGATAGTTAACAATATTTGAACAAAAGTTAACTTAGATCTGACAAGTGCTCATGACTAAGACAGTACACAATCTTTGAATAAGCTGTTAACTTAGAGCCAACAAGTGCTTATGATTAAGATAGTAAACAAACTTTGAGCAAACTGTTAACTTTACACTGACAACTTCTTATGACTAAGACAGTAAACAAACTTTGAACAAATTTTTAACTTAAAGCTGACAAGTGCTTACAACCACATTAGTAAATAAACTTTGAACAAACTGTTAACTTGAAGCTGAAAAGTGCTTACAACCAAGACAGTAAACAAACTTTGAACAAATTGTTACCTTAGAGCTGACAATTGCTCATGACCAAGAAAGTTAACAAACAATTAACTTAGGGCTGACAGGTGCCTATGATGGTTAGAGTTGTAATCAAAATGATTGGGTAATGTTATGATCTAGGGGGAAAATCAACCCAACCCAGGTCAGAATCATGTACCTAAATCTGACCAATGCATCAACCATACTGTTTAATATTTCAGGGACTCTCCAAAGATGTCAACAACAGCTGTGATTGGTAAATTACTCTACTTTTTGCTTGTCAATCTGAAAATGTAGTTTTGGATAAATTGATACAAAACAGCATAACTTCAGTCAAAAGCCTATGCTCACGAGATATTTGTGATTTCTTTACAGTTGACTGTTCTCTACACAAGGTAAATGGTGTTATTATTTATCATCATTAATGCATTATTATTATCACCATTACTAAATCAATGGCTGACTGACACAGGACTTACCTTGTGTATTGTCTACTATCTTCATGCACTTCCATCTCTTTACTCTTGAACTCATTGAGCTCTTTGCGAATTGCAGCCTTCAAAAAAAGAAGAAAAAAATATCTCCATTCTGGTATGCATGTCATCTAACTTATGTCCTTAATTGTTTCTTAGGCCACAAAAAATTAACAATTTCTTCATAACTTTTTGGTGCCTATGTGGGCAAACAAAGTGGCCATTACTACCTGTAAATGGGGATGATGGTTGGGACAAGCCCTTTGTTACTCAGTCAGATTAGTTTTTGAGTCAATCTGCGAAATCTTTACCAAATCCTGTCCTCCTATCATATTTGCAATTATTTTCTTCCAAAAATATGTTAATAAAGTTGTGGTGTATGGCCAAAAAAGTTACAAGTTACCTTGTCTTCAGGAGTCAATCTAGTCCACGGCTTGTCAGCTCTAAATATGATATAAACAAAAACAAAATGAAGTTCTCCAACATACCGTAAAATCAACTCACATTACCCACATTACACATACGTTTGTAGTTTCCTTCCGTTTTAAGGCAATCCTCGAGCCAAGTTCTTTTGAGGTTACCAGTCACTGAATTTAATGTCTTATAAATTTTTGTGGTGTTAACTGCTGAGTACAGTACAGGATGCTTACAGGCACATCTACTACAATTTACTGTTTTTAACTTTCACACAAAGAAATAAATGTTTGACAAGGAATGACAAAATTAATAGTAAATTTTTACCTTCTGTCATAGTCATGGACATCAACACATTCAACATAATCGTTAAATTTAAGAATCTTCTTTGCTCTCAACTCTTGCACTGTAGGCCTTCTACTTAACTGCAATACACAAATTCAAACAAGTTGAACTTAATTCTCTCTTCCTGCAAATGAATTGTTGTTGGCTATTTAAGAGCCAGTTTGGCTTTGTAATTATTCCATTAGTTAATTATTTCATGACATAAAATAAGCTCTCATGGAGACTAAATTGTGACACACCCATAACCAGATTTGTGTCACTGACCAACATTCAAATTCTGAGGTGCAAACTGGACAAACAAAGTAATGAAAAAATTTCCATTTATTTTTCTCAACCTTTCAAAGTCCCACAAAGCCACAGGTTACAAACTAGATTTGATTTACTAGAAGTCAAAATGAAAATTGTTAGCAAATGAAACAAAATTATTCCTCTAGTACTTATTTAAAGCAATTTTTTATTGAAAGAATTGAAAATGTTACTTTGTAAGGTTAGGCCTACCACTACACTTTCTAAAATGTTCTTTTGAATCAAATTAACCAGACCTTTCTAGTTAACACCCTTTTCTTTTCCTCCTTTTCTTCTTTAGCCTCTTCCTCTGAGGATGCTGTGATGTTGGCATAAAATAAGTTAAACTATGGATAAACATTCTGAATAAACCAGTCATTTAGAAAGCTACTACATTTGGAAATACAAGGTTTTTAAGTTTCTGCTGTTAAGAGTTAGAGATAGTCTAATATGTGAAGATATACTATTGCTATAGGACTTTCAAATCATCTTTCCATTAAAAGTGAAGATTACGCAGAAAAGAGGAACCCGTCTTATACTTAATAAACCATACACGACTAGTTTGGAACAAAGAAAAATATTTTAAAATGAGAAAGTGTTATACTGGTACATGCATTTACACAAAAAATGAGGTTGAAGGCATCTCAATTGGACCAGGGCAACACTATCGAGTGGATAGGTCTTTGTTTAATAGATTGCTATGTGATTGCCTACATTGCAAAGAAGAAGGGAAAATGCAATGTTACTTTCCTTCTTGTTTAATATTGTACATGGAAATAAAATTTACAGCCATGCATATTATTTTTCTCACTCCTTACATTTTGCCTTCTTCAAAAAATACATTGCAACTAATAAAATGTATCATTATATTACTTATAAATAAAGTCACTCACATTTCAAAATATTTCTTTCCCTAAGTTCTTGTGCAGTAGGTCGTGTGCTCAGCCGTCTGCAAGGATAGTATAAAAAGAGTAAAACGAGAGATAGTAAAGTGATGTTAATCAACAAATATGGGGAATAAGATATTACCAACTCTAAGTTTAGCCTTGAAAATATTAAATAACACTCAAATCAATACAAAATCTACAATTTTAACAAAAATACAGAAGCTGTCTATCAATGGCTACAATAGAGGTCAACATGCTCAAGTTTTTGAGAACTCAGAAAAAGTTTACAAGAAAAATTTGAAGCATTCTGCTCTTACGTATTGTTCACAACATATTTGTTTTGCTTTGATAGCTAAATAAAGGAGTTTGTTCCAAACATTTCAAACAAAACATTAAGTTGGGTGCTTCAGATGCTAAACATATAGACAACTACTACATCTAGATTTTAGCACAAAAGAAATATTACAAGTTACTTTTATCCATAAATTTCCAGGAAAGGTCATGCACTTGTTTAAACCATAGTGCAAATACAACTGAGTAATATCTGAGGTATGCAGCAAACTTACAAATATTTAATACATCTTGAAATAAAATAGTAGAAAGCTACTTCTAGATTCCACAACAAGTCACAAAACATGCTACTGTTATCATTTGTGCCATTATGAAGGAGGATGAACATCTGTTCTACAAAACATTCCAGATAATACACTGTTCCTAGTACAATGTGTGACATAATGGATGCTGCTACATCTTGCATCACTCCACGATGTCACAGAAATATTAATCAGTCATAATTGTCTCCCTCCAAAGATGTTCCTTCCTTAACTATCTGACATTCACTTTCAAGGTTTACTTTGCATTTCATTACTGTTGTCCTACATGACATATTGGGCTGTTTATTCTGTACATAGAACACCTGTCATTAATTATCACTAGTGATTAACAATTAAATACCGACATACAGAAGGAAGGTGTTTATTAATCATTTGTACAGAGCTCACATACACCATGTGTCTGACTCTATTTTGTTACAGTCATCTAAACATAAACAGAACAATGCACTGCCTTCCTCTCAAAAATCCTTTCAGTCATATTGATGGCAATTTCATTGGAGGAAGAAAGGTTATTTTCCTTAGGCCTCATTAATGCTTGTCTGATTTATTCAGCAGGTGGCAGGGCATGTAGACCAATCAAATATCTCTGTGTAACTTAACACCTGTTCAAATGGTTACCCTTAATTGAGTATTTATAGGAATCTGTTCTCAAATTATATGAGAAATTTGGACCAACAGTTCAGTAAACACAACATCATCATGTAAATTGTTTAAAGAACATATGGAATAAACTTTGGATAGAACACAAGTCAAACATTTTAGTCTCAGTTCTTTAATTGATAGAACAGCATGGCAATTTTTCTCAATGATAGGAGGAAATTTTGATAAACTAAATTTCCATGTACAAAATCAAGGGCAAAATACTATTGATCAATTTTACAAAGAGAGAAGAGTTATGTTCCATGACAAAAAGAAAAGAGGCAATTAAACTCACCTTATAAGTTTAGTTCCAACTTCATTTTTCCTCTCTAATTTTTCTTCCTCTGTTTTTGCTTGGAGACAATTTGGAAGAAAAATGATGAATTATCATCAACATAAAAAAGTGACTTGCAAAACAACAAGAAATCAAGAACTCATTAAATATAGACATGGTCATATCCAAAAGACAAGTTTTATTATCATGATAATTATAAGTTGATAATGATAGTTTAATTTTTTCAAATCACCATCTGCTGTTTATATTTTTGTTGTTGTGAAGTGTGTGCAGAAATTACCCAGCATCCTACAGAGGCTACCTGTACTTCCCTTTAAGGCCTTTTATTCCTTTGAGTGTTTTCCAGACTCTATTGCTATGTGTTATATATTTTGGAATTCTGTGGTCAGGTAGGGAAGAAAGCCAATGAAAATGACAGGCAAATACAACTTATAAATGATATGGAATTACCTTCTTTCTTGTTAACAATCAACATAATGAAAAAAAGTAACTGTGCCTTCAACTTTAAGACAACAAACTTCAACGCATCATCATGAACAATGGTGAGATTGCACTAAGAGCGCACGCATGCAGTACAAAGCAAAGTAAGTCTGTAGCCTGGGCCAAAACACAACAAACAACCTCCATAACATGTGACCAATTCATGAATTATGTGCTTATCTACTGATTTTTCATGCCCAATATATGTATTTCTTATCTGCATATTTTTTGCAAAGAAAAAGAAATCATTCAAATGAAAGTTAATATGATGACATGATAAAGTTGTGATGTATCAAGAATTAGAAACCCATGACAGGTTTTTCATAATTTAAAAAAGTACTGTGAATATTCATCCTCTGTCAAGACTGGAGAGTTTACATTTTACACTTTTAAAAAGATAAATTTACAACAACCTTTCCTAATCCAGAAGGTTGCAAATTATGGGTCACTGTTAAATTCTGAAGTACTTTGAGGTGGCCTTTATGTTAATATACCTCATCTCACAAATTACAGTATAACTAAGTTTTAAATGTTGAAATAAGTGACTCCTTGCAGCAAGGCAAGAACTTAATTCGCAACCAATAACAGTCCACACTAGGGCCATTAACAGCAGCATTTACTTGTCATGTTTAAAATGTGAAAGGAAGTTTGAAAGCTACTTTCTAAGAATCAAACTTGATTTTCTGGCTCTTTTGGTTAGTACACCAGGCTAAATGGGATTGAAAAATTACATTAATCATGACAATCATAACATTGCTCACACATTTATCCACAAAAAAAAACTTCTCCAAAAGACTATCATTAAATAACAGGAGCCATGTCTCAATCACTGCTTTAAAATGTTTGAAAAAAAGCACTCATTGCTTAAAATTGCCAGCGATTATAATCTACTGGTTATATCATCAGCAATATCAGTTCTTACAATAAAATTAGAAGATATTTACAACCAGCTTACTTAAATCCAGCACTCCAGACTGAGTTTGTCCAACTAAAGTGACAATTTGACGAATAAAAATCATTTTGCATTCTGTAGAATTCTTCATTCAAAGAGTTCAAGTGTTGGATTATCAATGTAAAAAATATGGCTTAATCCTGATGGACAAGAAAAGCAGTCTGGCCTACTCTTTTTTCCCTGTTTTTACACCAGGTGTAACAAAGAATGGCTTTCAAGTAATTGGAGGGCTGGCTAATTGGTATTGATCAGTGAAAGGACAGGTGTTTTGAGAATAATTATGTGTCAAAGTAAGACAAAACTCATGCACAATATCAAACATTCATTCAAATCTGCTACACAAATTCAACATTTTTACTCCCAATTCAACATTTCTGATAACATGTGCAATTTTTCCAGAGATCTTCTTTCCTGTGGTCCATAAAGATCCACATTTACACTTATTTAAAATAGAAGTTATGTTATTCAATTCATTAAACAAATAATGAAGCAAATTTTAAAATTATGTGCTCTGAACACCAATAGCTGGTTACTTCCTTTGAGTATTGGAAAGATTGTGCCACAAATAAAACCCACATTACCAAAGCTAAGCTGTTGTTCCTTGTAGGAAAAATATAAACAATAACATAAATTAACTTTGGCCTATGAGTAAAGCTATAACAAAGAATGTTACTAACCCCTGCAGGGCTTATTGAGGCACTGAAGATTAAAAATATTAGACAAAAGAGACTCATTTTTATTTCTAAAATATCCTATAAACTTCACTCTAAAATGATTTTATTACCAATTTCATACCTAGGTATTGAATCTTTAAGGAATTTTTTTTCAGCTTTTCATTGCTGCTTGTTTAAATTCTAAACCTAGGCTTGTACAGCTGATATATTGAAAATCTAAAATCAAAAAAGTAATATCCAAAACTGTAAAGCAATTATTTATTGTTATCTTTTAAACTACAAATGGTAGTCACATACTTAGACGTATATTATGCAATATACAGTTTGATTGGATATCATGCAGTGATGTCATGTATGTAAATATCTTCCTTCTTGAGCAAAAGGGGAAAAAAAGAGACAACCTCTGTTATACACAGTTGATATTTGGCAGTCCCAGCCACAGTGAAATATCATTCGGCCATAAGTTTATATTTGATTCTCTTGGCCACCTTTCAGTTTTACATAAATGTTATACAGATACCAAAGTATAAAATAAAACAAAAAAGGTTCATGTATTTTCACAAATTAAATACACTTTGTACTAACTGGAGCAATTTGAAGCATTTGCAGACAGCAGTTGTCAGTCATATCAGAATATTTCATTTTTTTTGAGGTCTACTTTCAAACCTGTGGAAGGTTCTCACTGTTTTTGACCTATAACTCCTAAAACTCCTAGTAAGTAAACAACATTTAACCTTGTGGCAGCCACGCACAGAGGATAATATGTAATATAGAGACTTGTTCAATTTTCTTAAATCAAGGCTGACAAATAGATTTACTGGTAAAAGTGAAGAACAGCTCCAACTGTTGACCAACATAAAAACGGTTTTTCTAGTTCCCAATCCCCTTAATGCACTGCTTCCAAAACCCTTTTAAGAAAGTCTTTATTTGGTTAGAACTATTTGACCTGTTGGTTCATTCACTTGCAAAATGGAAAAAAAGGAGCCTTTTCATGTACAAACAAGGATATAAAAAATAGGTACTAAATTTACAACTAAATTTTGGTACTTACAGTCTGAAAGTGGGTTAAACAAGCTTATTTTTACCATTAAAACAGAATCAAGTAGATAGGTATGAACAATGCAAATGACATGTTTCTATTTACTGTTTTCAGTCAATTTTTGGTCTACTTAACACTGTTGGGCACCTGTCGGTAATGTGCAGGTAACCTGTCAGCCGACAGTTGACCGAAAGGTTACCGACAGTTGAAAATGGGAACCATGGTTCACTATTACTGATTTACTAATGTTATTGACATCAAATATAACTAGACTCTTGATAAACTTGATGAAAAAATAGTCAGCAAAATTTCTTAACATTGGGTATTATTGCTATCATTCTTTGTAAAATATTACACAATACTGTAATCTTGAAAGATATTAATAAAGCTATACAGTTATTAATAGAACTATCCCACAAATTTCCACAGAATTTGTCTTGGATACATGACAAAACTTCACAGTCTCATCAATGTATGCTATTACAAATAAATAATTTTCCACTTACTTGGCAGTATGTTTCTGGCCTCAAGTTCACCTTGACTTGGTCTTGTTCTCAATTTTTGAGCCAAACTATCCTTCCTTTTAAGCTTAGATGCTAAGCCTAAAAAAACAAAAAAAAACAAGGCAGTTCACCCTTTTGAAAAGAATGACAATTGCAAATTGCAATACTTGGAGCAGTCTGTATCTGGGATCCGGATAGGAAAAATATGGACTGCTGAAGTGTGGAATTGGCCAATCAGATTTAAGGATTTAGGATTCTGGACCACTGAAATGCTTGAGAAAAAAAATAAGAATTTGTAATTTAATGGGCCACAGCACCACTTAACTACAAAGAGGATTATTTATTAAGCACTGTTTGCATACATAAAGGAATAAAAAAAATACTGTATGCAATAATACCGTATTCCCACATGTATAGGCTGCACTTTTTTTCCAAATAAATTTTGTTAAAGAGGATTATTTATTAAGCACTTTTATAACATAGCTAGTAAATTTGTCTAATCATATTCAATTGTGCGAGCATACTTCATATTCCTATTGTGCACATTCATGATGTCAGCAAACAAATCCCTTGAGAAAAAAAATTTTCCATCAGGTTGAAAATGTTATAAAACAATTGGTTTGTACATCAGCTGTGCGTTCATCGAGATATGAAGCACTTGGGAAGTTTGGAGAGCACTCAAGATGCTAGAATTGCTCTCAGCTACACCTCAAGCAACTCTTGCACATCTTTCGTGCTCTCCAAACTTCCCAAGTGCTTCATATCTCGATGAATGCACACTGATGTATGAACCAATTGTTAATTTGCATACATAAAGCAATAAAAATAATACTGTATTCACTATTACTGCAAACAAATCCCCCGCACTTTTTTTCCAAATAAATTTTGTGCAAAATGGGGGTGCAGCCTATACATGGTATAACTTAAATCTTTACCCCAGTTTCCCTCTTTCATCAAGAGGCAAGGCCGCTAAACTATGTTTGCTCATGTCCCTGATCACGTACACAACTTCACGCGATCATTACTGAGGAAATAAAACAAAATGTTAGGGTGCATTCCTTTGGGAGAATCCAGATCAGGATTTCTGATCTGTGGCGTTCCTTTCAAGCAAATCCATTTTCAGATCAGTGATCTACCAAATCCATTCTGGACAAGGATTCGTCGGATCACTGATCTGCGTGATCTAAAGACTGATCCAACATGTTCCTTTGGTCAAAGGATCCAAATTTAATCATTTTGCCCAGCAATGCTCAATTTCAAACAGGTACCTCGTATATTAGCCGGAAAGATTGTTCGCAATCGCTCTACAAATTCTGCGATAAAGGCGAAATAAAAACAATTTTGTAATGTTAAATCAATTGGCCACTGATCGCAGGCATTCAGGGTTCCCAAGTATCCATATTGTAATTAATACTTGCTACTGTTTTAATTCCATTGTTTGAGTTTACCATGAAAAAATGTTCTTCTAATGATGAGCCATTCTGGGAAGAGCTCAGTAACCCACATGCATACTAAAGTCTTGAAATAGCGCACTTTTTGGAATTCTCTGAGAGCTCGTCTAAAACTCCATTCCTTTCATGCACCATGATTTGTGTGATCTTGGATCACAAATCCAAATGCGAATCCTCCCAAAGGAATGCACTCTTAGAATACTTGGAACACAAATCTAGCACAAATTACCCAGGTATCTTTTCTTTTATCTTTTCTTTTACCTTTTTTTAACTGTAAGACTGTTTTGAAGATATGACTAGCTATTGTTGTTTGCATTTGCAATGTTTGTTTGATCGATGGCATACTATGTCAGATTATTTATTGTGATGAATTTTGTGACATAAACAAATATCTCTTGGCAGTATGTGGCATTTGCCAGGCCTTTCGCCCTCTGGAGAAAACGTGAAATCATTTTTTTTCAAGAAAATATGGTAAAAAATCAGGGTGCGGCTTATACACGAATGCAGCCTATACATGAATGTGGCCTATAGACGTGTGAATTTGGTAGACCTCTCCTACATTACTCATTTTGTTAGGAGTAAACATTTAATCATACAAAAGGTATTTGTTCAAGAGAAAGTACTGGCATTCTGGGATCAGATTATTTGTGGCCATGGTAAGAAAAAGCGCAGTCTTGTGAACAATTGTACTTCAAACTGACATCTCCTATACAATTTGTGTACCAATCTTTCCATCAAGATGGACCTCATACTCACCAATTATGTTAAGACTTTCCCAAAACTGAAGCTTTGAGATTAGAGGTACAGCTTACTGAACAAACAATGAGTCCAAAAACAATCAAATTCAATACCTGTAACAATTCCTCGATTTTCCTCCTCTTCCTCTGAGTCAGAAAAGCTTCCTTCACTTCCTGAACTTGCATGTTGCAAACTTTCATTATCTGAGCATTCTTCTTCACCACTAGTTTTTTTCCCAACACTTTGAACAACAACAAATCTACACAAAAAAGTTAAATATTTATCAGTTTACGATTTACATATAGGAACCTTTTTCAAGCCTGGTGATGAAAGTGAATTCAATTTTAGCCTTTTTGTTGTAAAGTAAAAGGTCTAAAGCTATGACCTGCAACTCACTACAATACCTTGAAAGCATCTTCCACTGATCCAAGGGGGTAAGTTTCAAAAGAAAGTGTGGGCTTGTGTCAGTTGGAGAGTATAACAGGGTAATTTGGTATCATTTACCAGATTGATAATGCACATTGGTACAAAAGTTTCAAAGCTAACATTTTGAGCACTAGCAATTTGTCAGATTTGTCCATTTGCTCTACGAGGGGCCAGTTGTTTACAATGAATTAACACACAATTGGATTAAGTCCAAGGTAGCTAAAAGCTAATTTTATTCATAGAAAAAGCCAAAATGCAAGAGAATTGTGTGGAAAATTTACTGCCTGTAGCATTTAGTTCCATGTGAATTCTTTTCAGTGGGGTTGGACAAAGCAGTCAGAATATGCAGGTTGTTTACATGGAAATGACACGTGATGGAGTGAAGTCAAAATGGAATTTGATTGGTGGAATACAATCAAGAGTAAAGGAGTGGAAAAAATGTTTTAACATAAAAATGATACAAAAAGGCTATATGTGAATCTTTCATATCCCAATAAATCTTGACATTAATTGACAAGGCTCCCACAAAGGCCACAAACCATTACACTTGTCAAACTTAGCCCAAATTTTATGGTTTATGTCCTTCTTTGTGCACAGCCCCCTGATTCCCTGACATCATTTGCAAGGGTATCCAGTCAAGTCACCGACAGTTCAACTCAAGCTTTTAAATTCATGGCGATGTTTACCTTGCTTTATTTGCCATGAGATCCTTATAAACTTTGTTGGAAGAAAACAAAATTGTTTTTTCATTAAATATCTTTTACTTTTCTGTATGTTTAACTTCTAATAAGTTGTACTGGATTGAAGACCAACTCGCTCACATCTGTAATCAATTTTATGCATCGGCAAGTTGGCGTTGGCAAGTTGAACCATCGGTGACTTGATTGTAATTCTTTGCAAGATAGCTGTGATATGATTGGTGCAAAATACATACCCTAAATGCTCAGATATCCAAATGCTGTGATATGATTGGTGTGAGATACATACCCTAATGCAGCAATCTGATTGGTGCAAGCAACATACCACTCTACGTGCTAACATGGAGGTTTTATTTTTATACATATATATATATATATATATACACAGTGTATATATATATAAAGTGTAAAATTCTGACTATCGTAAAACAGTGCTCAATACTTAGGAGTAGAGCAATGTATATAATGTGGGAGGAAAAAGATAAATAAACTACAAGTTCATCCCTACAGGCCTGTTATGTGGTCGGTTAAATATATATATATTTATAACACCAAACTGGCAGATTTGGGCAATTTTAGTCAAACTGAATAAATCTTCATGGATTTGACAATTTTGGCAAATTTCAGTCAAGATTCATCAGAGCTAAATCAGCTTGGTGGAATTGACAATTTTTAGTCAATTGGTCAAAACGAAATTAGCTTAGCAGATTTGACGATTTTGACAAATATTTACCATTTTCATTACTGCATGATTTCTGGACATACACTGTATCTCGCTGGCCAACTTACGTTATCGACTCAGTTAATAATACCAAATTACTCCATTTTCTTATGAGATTCTTGTATAAAGAAGATGATTATCTTTCAATCCTATTATTCCTTCCTTTTTTTCGTTTTTGTTTTATTTTTTTAATTATTAACCAAAGGCAGCAGGAATCTTAAATCTTAGTCTATTAAGATAGTTGATAATTATGACATTGGCAAATACTGTCCTATGACCTTCTGGCCCTAATTTTTTAAAGAGTCAAAACATTTAAGTCACCAGAAGCCGCAAACTGTGTATAGTTTTTTTCATGACCTTAATCTAGTCTAGTACATAGCATGACTTTCAATGTTATAGTATCAACTGTATTACCTTGGTTGTTGGCCAATAGAACTACAATGTCTATTATTTTGAGTTTGAAGGACTGTCTGTTCAATTGTTGAACTGTCTCCAGTGTTTCGACGAGCTGTTACAATTAAAGAGAGGAAATTTGTCAATCGGCATACTATCAACCTCACTACATAGTATTGTCCTCAGTCGTTAACTGCAACTTATAGCTAATGAGTAAAGAGGAAGAACAGTTGTTTCATCAGTACAGACAGACCAGGTTGGTTTTGGGACACAAATGGATTGGTGCTCAAGGCCAATGTAAACAGTACAATTTTCTTCTTTTTTTTATCATGCCATCTATCAGCCCATCTCACCCCTACAATTCAGTAGTCTAATGTAAACTACAACAAATTGACAAGACTAAAAGTATATAAAATATAAACGTAAAGCAATTCAAGCATGTTCTGAAAAAACGCAACATACTACAATCTCAAGCACTGTAAAAGATTAATTATTTATTAATCAATTTTTAAACAATTTCATAACAAAAGAAGGCTACACAGGCCTATGAATAAGAACTATGTACATTACCTCCTAATAAACATGATTTAACCTGTTCTATTGCATTCAATAGTTAAGATAACATCATCTCACCTAATTCCTGAGCCAGCTGGTCCATCATACTCAAAGTATCTAATTGCTGAACTTGGAAATCATTCTTGATTTGATTTCCAGCAGGTAGATTGTCTCGCTGTTGAAGTGGAGTTCTCAAAGCACTCCTTGGCTGACCTGATTTTACGGATTTCTCTTCACTTTCATTGGGCAGCCTGTTTTCCAGTGATGGACCATTGCATTGGACTTCACCTGAATCATTCTCGTTTTCTTTCTCTGAAAATAATGTTTGATTGATGAAATTTTAATGTAATAATAAGCAAGTAAACAAGTACAAGATTATAAAGACATGTTAAAATAGTACACATCCAAAGAAAGCTAACTGAGAGAAGTCTAATTCGGTTAACTAAGATCAGTTCTTTGTGTAGACTAATGAAAGAGCTTAACTGTATCCTAAACACCACTGCAGGTTTAATGACAGAATATAGTCCTGTCTTGACTGCCTTTCTGCTTTCAATGGTTGCAACGATGGTATTCAAAACAAGAACAGCACACAAATAAAACTCTTAATGAAACCAGCAAACAAAAATGATGAGCATTTTACTATTTCCTTTCTAAGATCTCAAAATTGCTCAGGGTTTTGCTTATGTTGTAATGGAAATCTTAGCACTTTAAATCACTTATTTAAAATTGATAGTTGATTTGCTTTATATCAGGAGGAAGTAAACATGAACAATACTTAAAAATACAGTTAAGCCTGACAAATGGCCAATGCTCAAAACATCACCTTTTCCAAATTCTCCTAGTTAGTTACTTGGTAATTTAATTCTAATCAACTACATAATGATCATCAACTAACCATGTGAGATGCTATGATTCAAATGCATTCAAATCTAAACTTAACAGGTTAGATACTCTGATTTAAAATAAACCAATTTAAAACTCAAACTGTTTTTCTATATTAAATTATCTTTGATTTTTTTTTGTAGCAAAAGCTATATTATTGGTCTACAACTCATTTTCTAAGTTTCCATTGACACAATATATCCCTGAATGTTTCTTGTAAAAACTTGGTAGTCATAGCAGACTATAAAGTTCACCTTCAGATGTGACTGGAAGGATTCCTTTCTTTATCAACTCATCTCTGTTAGTGCGTACCGATAATTTTCTTTCAAGATCTGAGAAGAGAATCAATATATATTATCACACAAGAAAGTAACAAAACAATTTATGTCAATAACTTGGATGGTATAAATAATGTACGTTACACAACTTAACTGTTTTTCAAAATATTTCAGTAAAAATAATGTAATACTTAACCAAGTTTAATGGTGAGATATTCAATTATTCCCAGCCTTTCTACATCTTGAAGGCTATTTCAAATCCTTGTGGTCAACAATTTTATATGTATTGCTCATCCAGACAAGACACCAAAATAATCAAACCACATTATCATCACTCTGGAATGACTTGTAGTTAAAAGAAATCTATACACTGCTTTTATAAAGAATGTGATCATATCATTTTGTCACCTAGTACTACTACTTAAAGTCACTAAAATAAAGGCTAGAAGTTGGAAAACATATAATAGGAATTCCTTGTTGTGCTAGAAATATATTGTAAAGTACTATAATGCTGGTAAAGCAAAGAACTGCAGTCAAGTGATCTTATGAATTTTGAACAATCAATGCCCCCATGAAAGAGTGTCCAGGTAAATAAAAGAACAAACTAAAGATCTTTCTTCTTCTAACAGATCTCAAAATATCAAAAACACATTCAAAATATCACAGAAAAATTGTAGTTGTGATCCAATTTATCACCTTCCTACAGCAAAGGACAATATCATAAAAATGCAATAATAATTGAAGCAACATATGCAAATAGAAATATCTATGACAATATAATTTCTCTGTTAAAAATGTTTTGCAGTTACAAAATGCATCAAGTCTATTCCTGATGTAATCACTCAGAGGAAGGTCCTACTGAGACCTGAAATACTATTTTAATGGTTCTGGAACAAGCGATTATTATTTTTTCCAATCTTGCCTCACATCTTTAAATCTGACCAAGAAATTAGAAAAATAGACCATTTTATTCACTTGGGAACCACAAAACAGAAATTCAAAATGAAACTTTTCATACATTCAAAATATGTAGGAAATAAAAAGCCAGACTGAACCACACAACATGAAGGGAATCAGAGAGACTTTTTCCCCTGTTGTCATTTTCATGTTGTTGAGCTCACAAAAACATTTAGCACTATGAACCTACCCAACAACCTTCTTCAGGGAAGTGAAAGGTAATTACAATCTTAAGCACTTTCGTATGCATTATACACAATAATTGATCATACATTGAGCTATATTAATTCGAACTTAAGTTGATAACGGTATTAGTAAAAATAATTTAGCCCCAAAATTGTTAGGAAAAAAGTTCAAATAAATCAAATACATCCATAAATATCAAAAAGAGAAGAGACTCGGTGTTACTAAAATTTAACCCAAGCATTAGAAGGAAATTGTTAGCTTCATAAGAGCTTTTTTTTTCCCTCAAAGCCATTAAACAGAAAGGAATGTATGTTTGATGAATTGAATGATATCTGTAACATTTAATTTGGAGAAATTTTCAGCCAAAGAATAAAAAATTATCCAGCACAACCAGACCAAATCACATTGTTGTGCGTGTCGAATCAAAATTTGATTTCGTTTATATCAGATGTCTAGTAAAAAGGATTACATTGTCGTTGAAATATTTTTAAAATAAATACTTCAGAGTGGGAAAAAATCCAATTTATTAAGCGTGGCAATATGTGGCAAACACAAATATTTGCAAAGAACCTACCAGAACAGTTTAAAAAAAAATGACTCAACGACCCTTTTAATCGAAGGTCCAAAATACGGAATTAGAGGTACGGTTGTAATTCCTTTCAGGCTCAAACTTCCCAGTGGTAATCAATCAGAAGGAACTAAGATGGAAGCTAATAGCAGGAAAAATAAATGCTTTCGAGAGGAACGAATTGTATAGGGCTGAGCACATACCTACAGCCTGTTCTCGGTTTTCCATAGGTGAAACGTCAACTTCCACCCTCTAAAAAACTGAACAAATAGGGGCCACAAAAAGACAAAATGAAACATTGCTTACTTTGTGAAGTGGTGATGAACTTCTGACTTTTCTTTCTCCTTCGCCATTTCCACGGTCGAAGTAATCTTCCTATACTCACTGCCAATTTGCTTCGTCGCACAGGAGGAGGTGTACTCGGGGTAGAGTTTGCACTTGCGACAGAACTGTCAACTTCCGTGGAGTTTATAAACGCTGGTGTTCGTCTTGTAGGCACAGTGTTCCCGCCATTCATGACTATGGTCATCTCTCTGCGACCTGGATCACTGTTTGAACGTTCTCGAGAACTATTTAAACTACCAGAGGGCGAAGTTCTGCCATCATTACTTACCTCCATTTTACGTTTACACGAATGGCGATGGTATGGGTTCCAATCCTACGCGGTGAACAAAGATTTGTGACGCCTGACAGTAGTGTCCTCATCACTTCCGCTGGTAGGCCGGCCGAGCTGCTTCTCGGAGGGTAAAAACATTTTAATAAAACTTTCGGCCAAGTAAATTTTTGGGCAAAAATTATTTGAAACTTCTATTTTTGACCTTAAAAATATCATGAAGCAAATAACATCTCCCGTGAGAGGAAATTGACAGCCATATCTCAATACCACGCCTGAATAAGACAAACTCCATAAGCGTACTTCCGGTGATCGCGGAAATTATTACCACTTTTTTCTGGGTGCAGTCCCGCGAACATAAACTTAAAACCAGTGTCTAACATGCAAAAATATATTTCCTAAAACTAAACTTGTATTATCAGCACACTGGCATTTAAGATCCATTTTCTTTTACGAGACGAGAACTCTAAGTAGTCAACCTAACCACTCTCCCCACGTGCGAAACAATACCAACCTACAAATAACTCAAGTAGTTTTTATTTGATGCTTTTTTTTCTTTTTTTTAAACCAAAGATGAATCTTGATAAGAGCGCTCACGCTCGCTTGAATTGTGTAGGCTAAACTGCTGACGCTTTGCTCCATGTTATTAATTCAAATTACAGTATCAGCAAAGGGCTGAAGCCTGATAATGTCCAGAAATAATTGTGTTATCCTTTGGCTGAACCCCTACCTATTACGACTTGCCATAGTGTAATATAAAGAGCTAGTACAGTTACAATCCATTTTGTGAGGTTTGATATCATTGCTCCAGTTCTCAGCCTATTTATTACAATCTTGTACCCATAATTAGACACACTTTGCTTGGCAGTTGCATTTGATTTTAAAATATTGACTGCAGAATTCCCCAGAAATACAGACTTCCTACTGGTTTTGGCATAAACAAATCTAGTCCCATTTTTGGATTGCACAAGAAAGTGACAATTGACTATCTAGGGAGGGGCTGGGAGGGGCTTCTTTGAGACAGGATGGGATAGGGAATTGCCAAGTAGCCTGATAAGTATCACGAGAGGGATTGGGGCAACCTTGGCACAGGATGAGACTAACGAAGATGTAACATAATGAAATGAATATGAAAGCCATCTTTGCAGTAATGAAATCAAAACCAATGAGCTTCATTTATTATAATTATAATGAACCAGACAATTAATACAACAATTTCTATAATTACCATCTGAACAACTACACATAGGGATTACAAATACAGAAAAAATTAAAACAAAACTAAGTCTTGAAGAAAGATATCCCCTTTTCCTCTAAGTTACGTAATTTTTTTTCCTGAATGGAATACAAGAGGGAGTCAGAACATGTTTCGACCCCTAAGGTTTTTACACCAACACAACATTTACAATAACCTACTCCCTTGAATAAGAATAGCATAACCTATTCAAGCAAGTCCAGCTCCTGGTTTTAGACTCTATATATTTTACATAGCATTTCACAATGAGCCAATATCAACTCACAAAGGGTTACCAGAACTTCTACAAATGTTGGGTACTCTCACAACATTCTTAGCTTCTGGATCTCAGCTATCATTCGTTTGCCTTCTTGCATGATATCCAATGGAGACACTCCTGCAGCTGTACATTTCACCCGGGTTTCATCCTGTAAAAAATTTGGACAAGGTCACCTTGCTGTGATTGAATCATGAAACCTCAAAAAAAAAAACAAAAACAAAAACAAAAAAATAAAAAGAATTGCCTAAGTACTGATAAAAATGCATTAATTATATCAAGTGTTTGAATTTAGAGGATCTCTTTCCAAATTGATGAAAAGTGAACCATAAAATTTTATTCTTTCTATTGCCTCTCCCCTTTGAGGATTTGGCATGGACACTTGCACAGAGGAGGATGTATTTCTAAAAATCACCAAAAAGCCACCAAGAACTTATACTTGAAATATAGGTAGCAAATACATTTAAGTGAAAAGCAATAACAAACACAGCAATGCAATATGTTCTACCTGTTCTAGTGCCTAAATTTTTAAGGAACACCCTTACATTGTATGTCTCCATCTTTGCTCGAATCTTGAAAATGTATGTCTTGAAGTTTGCCTCTTGGAAAATTTGATCAAAGGAACACTCATCCCCCTTCAAAGAACAACAAAAAAAATAATAATAATAATAACTTGTTACATTTAAGATACAGTATTGTACAAAGGTCTTTCTACACAAGATGGCATTGTTCAAAAGATCTAAAACTAGGACATCAATGGCAAATTCAAATTGAAATAAGGACCACTTTAAGAATACAATGGAGCAATCTGCTTTCAACCAATCCTTTGGTGGTCTTAAAATAGTGTTTGAAAAAAAAACAAAACACCTTGTCTTACTCACCGAGTCTCGCATCTGACCCAGTTCATCTGCAGTTATTTTCAGAAGCAACTCAGCTGTTTCCTGGAAACAGGTAACCCAATGGTTACCAGTGAAATCAGCCAAGTTTGTCTGAGTGGGGATGAAAACATGACATCAAGAAAACTCATAATGATTATAGGAAAGCATCATCAGTAAAGTCTTAAAATAAAACTCACTAATAACATCAAGCGATACTTGAAGTTAGGGTAGGTCTTGTTACACTTCTCACAGCGATAATTACCATCTCCCTCATCAATAACCTTCTTGTTACATTCTGCAGTAGGGCATGCCTAAAGAGGAAAGACAGAAACTTTCACAGAAGATGTCATCTACTTTCACAAAGGATGTAAGAAAGGTGTTTATACTGGCACAAGGAAATGAAAGGAGGAATCATTGATTTGGATTGCTCAGGTCTACATGATTTAAAGTAACATGCAAAAGTACCATGTCAATGATAGAAATTACACTTTAAAATCAGCAAAGTATCAATTTTCCTTCTTCAAGAAAGTTCTTAAAGAAAAATTGTTCTTTGCTTAGAGATGAAATTAAACAAACATAGCAAGTTGTAATTATTTTTCTTACCTTGTACAAACAGTTGTCTTTCTTCATGTACAAAACAGTGGCCTTTGATGTGAAATAGTCAGCCTGCAGAAGTCAAACATAATCAAAGAATGAAATAACCATGAAATGAGATTGGCCAGGTAAGAGTAGTACTAGAAACAACATTTTGTCAGAGCAGTAACTGATCAGATTATCAATGACTATGATCATCCTATGATGCTACATGTAATGTTCAGTCAGGTTGTTGGAATGTCAGAGGTTGCTACCAAAAACAGTGATTTTCTATGCAATGCTAACTCAGTCACAATGCATGATCAAATGTTACCCATAGTCTCATTCATCATCAAAATTTACTATTTATGAGCCTTCAAATATGAGTTCATCATCATCATGCAAATAAAATATGAAGCAAACACTCTAAGTACTTTGTTACCTTGTCCCCCATACCAAGGTTTTCATGATCCATCTGAAAGAAGGTTTTGTAACCACAACCTGATGGAAGAAAACATCAACAACAAAAATTTTTGTTTTTAGTCTTCTTTTCTAATTTTTGTTTTGGAGGACATTAATTTAATTTCACAATTATTTGATTTGTGTTCATGCAAAGCCTAATAGTACAAGTGAAAGAACTACTTTAGTTGTAATATCACACCTCCCTGAGGGGAACCCCCAAGTTTCTAGTGAGAGTATACCTGTATACCGTCTTGTCACCATATTCCCACCAATGGCGTAGCTCCACTTTCTACATATAAATCCACACACAACCCACAATTCCTCTAATCGCTCTGACGAAGGGCTAATGCTTGAAACGTCAGCTTTTTTACGGTGGCTAATTTACGTTTTCAACCCAGTTGTTAACACTAAATTACCTGCAATATTTTAAACCTATGACAGAAGATCTCCTGTAGGTGAACTCACTGGCTAAACATTCTGTAGCAGTCTAACTTTAATATTTGTAGCAAACTTACTGTTTCCTTCATCATTTCAAGACTCAATATAATTTCAAAGTTAAATGAAATAATACAAGAAAAAAAAGAACAGCAACCCAAACCTCCTCCATCAGATCTGAGCCCAGAGAGAGACTCTACATTTGAATCTTTACCAACATTATCATACCTGTAAAAAATCCAAATAAAGATATATTAGTTAAAATTAAACCCACACAAGTTTTCAAAATATTGACACAACTTGAAAAGTTACCATCCACGCAAGCTATGAGCCTCTTGTAGGTCCATAGGGTTTATCCTCATATTTGTTGAACCCAAGATTGACAAGGAGCGTCCTGGAAAAAGTTAATATGACAAAGTGATTTCAAGGAATGTCACTGAACAATAAATACAACTAGTTGCAGGCATGGGGGGGGGAGGCTATGCTCATGATTAAAACTTCCTCCAAATAAAGGGTAACTCCTAGACTTGACTTATTCAACATCAATTTCTACATACCTCCAAAATCTGAGACTTTTGCCCCTTTTAGGGCAAGAACAGGAAACTTTCCAACAAACTCATCAAATGTCTCAGCCTGTTAACCAATAGCAGAGAGATTAATTTTGAGAAAAATTTTTGTCCTGATACCAAAAGTTGGTTTGAATTTAAAGTTCATAAGGTAAATGAATTATTTTGTTGGATCAAAGAATCTTAATAAATAGAACACATGCTGAATACATCAAAGCAAGGTTAACATAGTGTTGTACACCACAAAAGCTCCAAAGCAACAGATTTAATGTAACACACACAAGATACATAACTCTTCTGCTTCTGTGCTCTCTCACCACCCTCAAAGTTCCCTTATGTATAAGAGATGGCTGTCCTAATATACTACTAACAGTTACTTTGCCCTTTAACATCTTAATGATGATAATCAGCTGTTAAACCATGCTTAACTTAGGTTTCTAACAACATAAAGAGTAATTATTGACTTATTATTCCATTAAATTGTGTTTATCCCTGGATTAAATAGGGAGCATAGAAAATTCATATCTCAGGGTCATTACCTCTTCTCCCCAAAGAGTTGCTCTCACACTCTTCTCTGATCTGTCCAATAGAGTAATGTCCCTCTTAGAAA